GTCACAGTTAAAAACACATCTGTTCAAACTGGCTTATTCGGTTTAGTGCTGATTTTATCTGTTGTCAAGTTCTGTTTTGCAATTTTAATTTATTTTATGTATTTTATGACTATTGCTCCTTTTATTCATTTTGTTCTTCTGTAAGGTGATCTTGGGTTTTTGAAAGGCGCCCTCAAATAAAATGTATTATTATTATTATTATTATTATTATTATTATTATTATTATTATTATTATTATTATTATTAGTGAGCCATGCCTATTCATCTTAGTCACTATGATGTCTGACAAGAGCTTCCATGTGGTACTCTCGTGTACTAATATTATTTTATTATCATTTCTATAAGGAGAGATCACTTGGAGGAATTGAACATGATTTATTGTGACAAAGAAATGAATGTAATTCGCGATAAGACTCTGATAAACCCCCCAGAATCTAGACGCTGGAGGTGGTGGTGAAGATGAAGACTGAGGCTTGAATAGAGCTTTGGCCGAGGTGCCTGAGGTGGAGATGGGGAGGAGGTGGGTTACATGAAAAGAAACTCAAAGAAATCAGACATGTCAATATTGAGATTGACAGCATGGGAAAGAAGCCAGGATGTAAAGAACAGAAATATCAATATTAATATTGCAAAGGTTCAGTTACTTTTGCAAAGTTGCTTCACGGAGCTACTTTTTACATTTATCTTACTTTTAATAGATTTCAGATCCTTTAATTTCTATTTTTACCTAAATAAAGAAGTTGGCTCAGTACTGTAACTTTTACTGGAGTATTTTTTTTAACGCAGGTGTCTGTACTTCTACTTAAATAAATAATGTCAGTACTTTGCCACTGCTCTGTTTTGTATCTTACACTGTGATTAATGTTAAATGATCAATGATTTCCCCTCCCTTCAGGTGGAGTGGTGACTCCACTTTTGGGAGGACTATTACTTTCTGGGCATTTCTTCTCAAAACAAGTATATAGAATTCGATTTTAATTTAAAGGACCACTTTAAATGGCGAAGCAATAATATGACAGAGATCTTTAATTACATTAAGTGAGCCTACAGGGGTCGCTGAGAGTCAAAGAAACAAAGGGTCACAGCAAACGTTGTTGCTTGCATAACATCGACATTTTCTTTCTTAAATGATATATCTGCACATCTGCATTACATAAATTTGTCTATTAAGCACCTACCCTATGTCACTCAAAGTACTGCTCATTGTATTGCATATCACACTAGTTTGACTCTACCTGGGATGCCAAAAAATGGGTGTTAATGGAATAATCTTCACATGCCACAGAAAAGACACATTTTCCCATGAGACAGCAGAAAAGACAAAACAGATTCACTGGATTTAAGCAACATTTTAAAAAGAAGAAACAGAAAGTGATGGTGCAGCATAAAATACACATTTTTACACACATACATCCTTTAGTTGGCACATTAAACACCTGAAAAATAGATGTATATTGTTTCAAGAGAATATATAAAAGATGTAAATTCAAATGAAAGTATTTACACACTGAACCAACAGTTCATTTGTGCCTGCTTAATGGATCAGTGTTCAGTTACTCTTAACAACAGAGCTCTCTGCTGTGAAAGCTACATTCTGAATAACAAAAGTCTTCTGACTGGTGTCTTTCTTTCTGTTCTTCCTGCACAGTTTTTCACAGCACAAAAGATTAAACAGATGCTTTTGCGAATCCTGTGAGATCATATACAGCAGCGAGTTCATACAGCAGTGAGAATAGGCAAGCATTTCACAGATATGGTAGGCAACTGCTAACCGTTTCAGTACCTTACAATCTTTGTTTGTATTGAGAGACTTGATTAAAAGCATAATATGGTATGGCCCCCAGCAAATGAAGAAAGCTGCAACAATACACAACAGCAAAGCTACAGCCCTGTGCTTCTTTTTCTTTAAACCTTGTAAAACTGTCTTGAGGATTGAAGAATAGCAAAAAATAATAATGGGAGGAAGAATAGGAGTGATACTTGGAGATAACGTCCAAGCTGTTCATCAGATCCATCCTCACAATAGTTAAAATCATACCAGTTTACCACCTTTACTTTTATGGCTTCACTCAGGGATGCTGAGATGCTGATGACCCAGGCAGATATACAAGCACCGACTGCATACTTCTTTCTAGCATGGTTGCTCGGCCACTTGTGCAGCACCACGAGAATGAAACGATCCACTGTCATGGCAGTCAGTAGAATGACACTGCTGTACAGCCCAACAAAGAATGCGGCAGTCAGAAATTTGCAGACAAATTCCCCAAAGACCCAGTGGTGTAAATGATCAACAGCCCAAAATGGAAGTGTGATGGTGAAGATCAAATCGGAGCAGGTCAGGTTCAGGATGAAAATAGTTGTGACGCTTGTCAGTTTCTCGTAGATGAAGAGAACGCATAAGAGGAGACCGTTGCCTATGAGACTGATGATGAAGAGTGTCCCAGTTGAAATTGGAAAGTCAGTCTCACAAAGATAGGCAGCCTCATTGATTGTGAAGTTGTTTGCCATTGTTAATTTTCTAGAAAACATAAACACAAAGCTAAATTTTTTTCTCTAAAATGACACAAACTGTTGCTTTTAGTTTTAGTTTTTTCATGTTACATAAACCATGCATTCTAGTAAAGTACAAAATTAGAGGAGCAAACACAACAATTTACTTCAAGCATCTCTTGTCAAGTCTTCTGTTGAATTGAGCTGTGCTGACAAAGCTGTAATGTACTTAAACAAATCGGTGTTCCTCTTTTTGTTTCAAATTAAGTCAAAGATGCCTCCTTACCAAAGGTCACATTTTTTTAAGAAAAAGAATCCATATGCAATCCTTTTCTCATAGTGAAACTGAAAGTTGAAAATGAAACTCAAACTGTCAAGAACCATAGTTCAAGCACACAAGCTGGACCCAGATACAAACACAATACGCAGAGATGCACGCAAAATAAACTTTATTTCTGAACTAAGGGTGTCCCGGAATGGTCAAAGGAAAACACGCTGAGTTAATGTTAAAACAAAGGGACCGGGAGACAAACAACTCGGGAACGCCATGATCAGGACCGTGGGAGGCTGCAACAGAAAAGGCAAGAGAGTTACTGGGGAGCGGGGAGATAACAGCATACACGGGGTAGAGTTATTTATCTTACGATCAGGGCTGGGCCGTGGGAACCAGAGAGAGGGGTGAGGGTCTGCGGGAGAGCTCCAGGGAGACGGAGGAGATGATGACCGGTGGTTTATTCGAACTCCAGGCGGGCAGGAGGACAGGCAGATGTAGGCTCAAACACACCGAGCGATAACCGCTGAATGGTGACTAACGGACTGGCGTGGAGCAGCCAGCTGAGAGGGGTTAAATAGTCCTCCTGATGATCGCCTGGAATGGGATGCAGGTGTGGAGACGACAGCCACACCCGTAGTCGTGGGCATCCCATCTGCTCCTCAGACACCGGGCCGCGGACCATGACACAAACTGACTGTTTGGAACACAAATGTTTGAATATTTTTTTCTCATACTTATCAGGGACATATAACGGTGCACAAACATGCTGCACAGATCAGAACACACATAAACATAGATGTATGATTGTTTTTTGTAAAGCATGAAAATGCTGACTACATAATTTTTATGTAAAAGCACAATACCAACCATTGTGTTGGTAAGAAAGTATTTCCTGCTGATAAAATGAAATGGATCCATGATATCATCAAAGTGACAGATTTATGATATCTCTGATGGTATGCCCAGTGTAGTAGATCAACATCGAAAGTTTTCCGTTGTAAAACTGCACGGTTTTATAGCAAGAATAGATAACTACAAAAAACTACATGAAAGATACCAAACAAAGCACATCATATTACACATCAATTAACTTAGAGTGGTCCAGATATGCAATACAGAAGTCAGAGTTGACTATTAAGAATGCATGCAAAAAGACTGACACCATGTTCGCAGGTAATTCCCAAGTGAAACTAGATTTAAAAGAAGACTGAATTTCTCAAACTGAAATTTGAAATCAGAGCATGTTAACATATTAGACAAACAAAGAGAGAAGTCAATAAGCTGTTGATCAGGGGCCCGTTCTTCGTACCTCGCTAAGTAGGTTAGCCGGATTAGATTGTTGACGATTTCGCGTGATCCTGGATCAGTCGGTTCCCCGAAGCTCATCCGGGACTTGCTGTCATAGCAACAGAGCCGTAAGCGTAAACCTGCTCGGGAGCAGGTTTACTTTATGTAAACAGGATTAGATCGCGGCCACGCAGGTATGTCCGCGTCATCATACGAAAGCAACAGCGATATTCCGCCACCGTTTCACCACAAATAAATAACATCAATGTAACTAAAGATAATGCAGCACTTGATCCTTTTATTGATTCCACACAGATACATACAGGTCAGTCCCTAAAAAAGGGAAATGTACGAGTAATCACGCTATGGCATGTAGGTGATCACGCCAGATGCAACACACATTCCACAGTAGAGGAATAGCAAATTACGTCGTGTAATCAAGATGACAGACCACGGCTATAAAAGCGAAGGTGGAAGTGGGAAGTTTGTCGCAGCCATGTCCTGTCCGTTCCTACGCGAGCAACCCATTGCGGAAGGTGCAAGAGTGATAAGGAGAGTGTTCAGAATCCAACGTATATTGCGGGATAGACAGGATCCTTTAGCACAGCGCGACAGTGTGCTCATAGAGAGATACCGATTTTCCCGTGAGGGTATCATCTACCTAACCAACTTGCTGGATCCCCATGTTAAGAGTACCACCCACCGTAGTCGGGCATTAACAACTGCACAAACTGTGTGCATTGCCTTGCGCTACTTTGCGAGTGGCACGTTCCTGTACACTTGTGGAGACGCAGAGAACGTTGGGAAAAGTGCCGTCTGCCGGGCCATTCGCAAAGTGTACCTGGCACTCAAGCATTTCCTGGGTGTGTTTGTGGTTTTCCCAAGCCACTTAAGACCACAGGTCGTCAAACAGGGCTTTCTCGCCATTGCAGGTACAGTAAATTGGATAGTGAATGTGATGCAATCATGACCTATGTCGGTAACTGTAGCTCCAACGTCCGCAGGCTTCCCGAATGTGATTGGCACCATAGACTGCACACACATTGCGATCAAGGCCCCCCCAGGCCCCACTGAAGGGGACTTTGTCAACCGAAAGGGGGGCCACAGTATAAATGTGCAGGTGAGCAATACTAACACTCCAGATGGCAATATACGATGGGAGGAGTGTGGTCACACATAATGGAATCCCACAGATGGTGTGTGACTCGATGTGCCATATCACAAATGTGGAAGCAAAATGGCCCGGATCAGTGCATGACTCACGGATCTTCAGAGAGTCAGGGTTATGCACATCATTTGAGCGTGGTAAGTAAAAGAGGCTTATGTTGATGCTACATACTCATGTCGGGCCTAACATAACAGCATTTCTTCATTACACAGGGGCCTACGATGGGATCCTCCTCGGAGATAGAGGTTATGCATGCAGGCAGTACTTCATGACACCGTTCCCTGACCCCAACCCTGGGCCACAAACCCGCTACAATGCAGCCCTAGCCAGGACAAGGGCACGCATTGAAATGACCTTTGGGCAACTGAAGGAACGATTCCAGTGTCTAAAACGCCTGAGGGTTGCACCTGACAGGGCATGTGACATTATTGTTGCATGTGCCGTACTGCACAACATTGCCACCATCAGAAGAGAGAGGACCCCCGTGGTGGAGGTGCAGCCTGATGATGACCTCCAGCCAGTGCACCTGGACCAACCTAGTGGCAGAGCTGCACGGGACAGGATTGTGCAACACAATTTCGCATAATAAAAACATGACATGACACATTTTCTATTGACGTTTATTTGAGCATCGTTGTCTGTCCCACCACACACAGGCCAGTCATCAGTTGCCTGGGAAAACAGAGCATGTATACTGCGTCACGCAGGGTCAGCAATAGTGCTCCGTATGAACATGTATTCCTACTTACTCTGGAGTTCCTTTTGAAGCACCTCGATTTCCAATTGTAGTTTCTGCCTCATTAGGGCTTGTAGTTCGATCTCACCTAGGAGCTTTTGTTTCTTCAGCTCAGTATACTCCATCTTTTGCTGGAGACTTCTCTTGTAGAGCAGACGTATGTCACCCTGTGTCAATTGTGGTGACAACATTTAACGGGGAATACATGTCATATAGGCAGTATAATTGATCACAACACTGCCCACCTCTGCATCAGCAGGCCTCTCTGCCGGCCTCTTGGCCTGCAAATCATACTGCAGTCAGACACACATGGCAGTACACAAGTAGATGGTATGTCAGGCCAATTCATGCATGTACTCACAGGGTCTTCCGCCACACCACAGCCATCTGACAGGGTTGCGTCACTGTCCTGTGCAATGGTAACACAATGGTGTTACTAAGGGGTGTGGTACAGCCTATAGGTCTGTACAATTGGGTGGGGACAGATATATGTATATCTCCCAACTTACTGTGCATGTTCCAGTCACCCCTTCCATGGGAACAGGTAAAAGTGATGGTGTGTCATGTAACACTACACACAGAGAAAACCCACAGTGCCAATGAATGAATGTCACAGTTCGAATAGCATTTTCATTTAGGCAACAACCACATATTTGACATTGTGCACATGGAATCATGAGCCCATTCACCAGTTATGTAGGTGCTGCTGCTACTGCACCCCGGCTTCTGGTCTCCGGAAGAGCTGCCCCCAGGGATGCCCTCAACAATGGGTCTGGTGGCATTCAACCTTAGGGCCAGCTCCTCTGCTGGGGTGTGACGAGGGGGTGCAGGACCACCACCTGTCTTTTGTTGCTCTGCCCTTTTCTTGGTTGCTGTTATACACAAACACAGGGATTGTTTCAGGGGTGTCTTTTCAAGTGACTGACAGCAATATGAGTGTTGGATATTACCATTCTGTAGTATGTTCTTGTATTTCACTCTTACTTGTTCCCATGTTCTGGTGGGTCCGGTTGTGGCTCTAATGTGTAAGAGGATATCATGTGGTATGATTTGATATGATAAAATATGATATGGTATGGTGCCATGTAATATGTTGCATTACTTACGCGTTTAATTTGTCAGCAACTTTCTGCCAGCCCTCTCTCCTTGCTTTTGCAGCCTTCGCACTGTTACCTTGCGTTTTAATTTCACTCTGGTACTCCTGAAATCCCTCAATCAGGAGTTCTTGCTCCGCTGCGGTGAAGTACTGTGCGCGCTCCTTCGACATTTTCGCCGACCAATCAGAGGCTTGCCGATCACTGTTTCTGCTATCGATGCGTAGCCCCTTTTACGGCACCCAGTGATCGCGCATTACTTCATCCAGCTGTAGTAATCGTCAACAGCAGGTGTGTTCGGGGAACCGGATTAGCGAGCTCACGGTTAGCGCGATGATTTGATCTTGGATGTGTCATTTGATCTTGGATGTAGTAAGCGACGTACGAAGAACGGGCCCCTGTTCGTGCATATAATTTAAATCATCAACTGAGAGTCAGCCTCTTCTCATACAGAGAGAAATACAAAAGCAGGAGTACCAACAATCAGCAACAAGATCTCAAACTGAGACCAAGGCAGCGGATAAATAAACAAAACCATGACAGCTACAGAACTCCAGGGGCCCGTTCTTCGTACGTCGCTTACTACATCCAAGATCAAATGACACATCCAAGATCAAATCATCGCGCTAACCGTGAGCTCGCTAATCCGGTTCCCCGAACACACCTGCTGTTGACGATTACTACAGCTGGACGCAGGAATGTGACATCACTGGGCGTCGTAAAAGGGGCTACGCATCGATAGTAGAAACATTGATCGGCAACCCGCTGATTGGTCGGCGAAAATGTCCAAGGGGCGTGCTCGGTATTTTCCGGCAGCAGAGCAAGAACTCATGAGTGAGGGATTTCAGGAGTTTCAGAGTTTAATTAAAACGCAAGAGAACACTGCAAAGGCTGCAAAAGCAAGGAGAGAGGGCTGGCAGAAAGTCGCTGACAAATCAAACTCGTAGGTAATTTAATAATAATAATAATAATGGATTGGGTTTATATAGCGCTTTCCAAGGCACCCAAAGCGCTTTACGATACCACTATTCATTCACTCCCACATTCACACACTGGTGGAGGCAGCTACGGTTGTAGCCAGGCTGCCATATCGTGCCATCGGCCCCTCTGGCCAACACCAGTAGGCGGTAGGGTAGATCTATCATATGACACTATATTGTCCAATATCATATGGCATTATATTATATTATAATATGTTATATTATATCCCCTTTCACATTAGAGCCACAACAGGACCCACAAGAACATGGGAACAAGTAAAAGTGGAATACAGGAGTATTCTACAGAATGGTAATATTTATCTCTTAGATTGCTTTGCGTCTCTTGGCAAGGTAATACTGGCCTGTAATACTCTGTTAGTTTGTTCATAACAGCAACCAAGAAAAGGGCAGAGGAAAAAAAGACAGGTGGTGGTCCTGCACCCCCTCGTCAACAAGTTGGTTAAGTAAATAATACCCTCACGGGAATATCGATATCTCTCTATGAGCACACTGTCGCGCTGAGCTAAAGGATCCTGTCTGTCCCGCAATATACGCTGAATTCTGAGGACTCTCCTTATCAATCTTGCACCTTCCGCAATGGGCTGCTCGCGTATACGGACAGGACATGGCTGCGACAGGCTTCCCAAATCCACCTTCGCTTTTATAGCCGTGGTCTCTCATCTTGATTACACGAAGTAATTTACAATTACTACTCTGAAATATGAATTACATCTGTAATAATCACATACATGTAATAGAATGTTAATAGTACATTTCCCTTTTTTAGGAAATGACCTGTATGTATCTGTGTGACATCAATAAAAGGATCAAGTGCTGCATTATCTTTAGTTGCATTGATAATATTTATTTATGGTGAAACAGTGGAAAAATATCGCTGTTGCTTTCGTATAAATGAAGCGGACATACCTGCGTGGCCGCGATCTAATCCTGTTTACATAAAGTAAACCTGCTCCCGAGCAGGTTTACGCTTACGGCTCTGTTGCTATGACAGCAAGTCCCGGATGAGCTTCGGGGAACCGACTGATCCAGGATCACGCGAAATCGTCAACAATCTAATCCGGCTAACCTACTTAGCGAGGTACGAAGAACGGGCCCCAGCTGTCCAGGTCTGACCAACAAAGTCAGTGTGCCTTCACCCGAATTCTACTGACACACACAAAAGTAAATCAAATGATCTGAAAATGAAAGTCTTAAATACCCACTAGTTATTGCAGTAACAACCAAGCCCATGTTAATTATTCAGTTCATAATGCGAGACCTTTCTTTTTGCCTTTGTAATGAAATAGTAAAAAGAGTTCACTTTAATTTCACACCCATATAAGATCCAGAGTCATTTTTTCAAAAACATTTTCCTATATTTCTCTTTGAAACCTTTTAGATTTTAATTATTACATAAATCATTTCCCATTACTATGTTGTCACCTTACTCAAAAGAGATAAAATGCCACGGAGAGCTTACCGTGTGCTTGCACTCCATGTGACTTTAGGTACTGCTCAATGAGTCTCTCCATGGTTGTGTTATTGCACTCATACTTGACCAGTCTGACTCTATCAGCAATCACAAAAATCTGCTGTCAGTGCATTTCTTTTCCAACCCAGTCTATCCTGGCATACCATAAGCAACATTTTCTTTTTTACAGGCACAGCTGATTAAAGCGGTGAAATACACATCTTTACACACATAAATCTTTGACTTTACACATTAAAAAATAATTTCAGGTGAATATATAAAAGATGTCAAATCAAATAAAAATAGTTACAGACTCAATTGGTGTTTAATTTCAACTGTGTATGTTTAATGGATGCAGTTCCAACTGAACAGCAGAACTCACAGTTGTAAAAGCTACATTACGAGTAACAGAAGTGTTCTGGCCAGTGTCTTCCTCTCTTTTCTTGCTGCACAGTTTTTTACAGCATAAAAGATTCAACAGATGCTTTCGCATCTTCTGTGAGAGCATACATAGCAGAGGGTTCATACAGCAGTGAGAATAGGCAAGCATTTCACAAATATGGTAGGCAACTGCTAACTGTTCCTGTGCCTTACAACCTATCGGTTTATAAAGAGATTTAATTAAAAGCACAATATGGTATGGCCCCCAGCAAAAGAAAAAGGCTGCAACAATACACAACAGCACAACTACAGTTCTGTTCTTCTTTCTGTTTAAAGCTTGTAAAACTTTCATTAGGATGGCAGAATAGCAGAAAATAATGATGGCATATGGGAGGAAGAATAGCAGTGATACTTGGAGATAACGTCCAAGCTTGTCATCAAATTCAGGCCCGCAATAGGTAACATTTTCCCAGTCTACTACTTTTACTATCATAGCATCGCTCAGGGATGCTGAGATGCTGATGACCCAGGCAGCTATACAGACACCAACTCCACACCTCTTCCTTTTAACTTGGTTGCTCGGCCAGTTGTGCAGCACCACGAGAATGAAACGATCCACTGTCATGGCAGTCAGCAGAATGACACTGCTGTACAGTCCAACAAAGAATGCAGCAGTCAGAAATTTGCAGGCAAAGTCCCCAAAGACCCAGTGGTGTAAATGATCAACGGCCCAGAATGGAAGTGTGATGGTGAAGATCAAATCGGAGCAGACCAGGTTCAGGATGAAAATATTTGTGATACTTTTCAGTTTCTCGTAGATGAAGAGAACACATAAGAGGAGGCTGTTGCCTATGACGCTGATGATGAAGATCAAGATGAAGAAAGGGCCAGTAAAAGTTGGAAAGTCAGTCTCACAAAGAAATGCAACATCACTCAGTCCATGGTCACTCATTGTGAAGTTGTTTGTCATTGTCTGTTTTCTAGAAAAAACATAAACACAAAACTAGATTTATAAAATGTATGTACATTACCTCTTCTTTTTCCAATAAAATGACACAAACTGTTGAGTTTTAGTTTTCACCTTATGTAAGCAACAGGGATAGAGAAATCACTTACCCAAATCATCAGCTGTCATGCCTTGTGGTCAGTTGCATTGTGCTGGAAAAGTTGTGAAGTTCTTGTGTTAACTTACAGTTCCTCTTTTTATTCACAGTAATTCAGAGTTGCAGTTTTTTCTCTTTTGCAAAACACATGAATATTGCTGATGATATTAAAATGTGATTATGAGGACAGTACCCAAAACTTGTTGGAAAGCAGTTATTTTCAGCTGAAAACTGGAAAGATACAGCAAACCTTCAAAAAACTGACAATGATAACCTAAAATATACTTCTAATAATATGTACAGCATATTCAGTAGGTCAATGTATTTTAAAATTGCTACAACAGAATAACAATAAAAGGTCCCAATCATATGAACTGCAAAACCTGAAAATAACTTGATGAAACACAGCATACACGTCACTGTTATTAAACTAAAACTTCACGCTCTTTATCCTAAGTTACACTTTCCGGTAATTGTTACCCTCCCATATAAAAATGAAAAAAATAAATAAATAACCACCCCTTAGAAGGGATAGTATGCATGTGAATCTTAAGCTTTGGCTCTCTTCCAGAGGCCTGATAGTTTGAGGGTGTTGAGCAGTATCTTAGGTGTTCCTATGTCTGCAATCTTCTGGACAAACACCTCTGATGTTGTGCTGAAATCTGCTGGAGCCAGTCTTCCAATTTCAGATTTATAGCTTCTAATGCTTCCTTTACCACTGGGACCACTTTGGACTTTACCTTCCACATCCCGCTGTTGCTACAGTCCCTTGTACATCTCTATTTTCTCATGCTCCTTCTTTCTGATGTTGTTGTCCACTGGGATTGTCACATCTATCACAACCTCAGTCTTCGCTTCCTTGTCAGCCACCACTGTGGTGGTTGCTTGGCCAGCTGCTGCTTGTCTGTCTGAAACTGGAAGTCCCACAGGACATTAGCCCTGTTGTTCTCAACCACCTTTGTTGGTGTCTCCCATTGGGACTTAGGGACTTCAAGTCCATATGCAACTCAGATGTTCCTGTACATTATCCCAGCTACTTGATTGTACCTCTCAGCGTAAGCTGTCCCAATTTGCATTTTACATCCTGCTGCAGCATTGATAATAAAGACCAGTTTATTAAATCCAGTATCCAAAATGCTGGTGCATGCTCATTTTTACATTTATTAAATCAATTTGATTATTGGTAGTATCAATACCACTGCTGGTATCAATGCTAGCATGATAGGATCGATACTTTGTTTTGCTCCTTTACCTTTAGTGCGTTGCTCCCAGTCATCAGAAAGTTGACGTGTCTGTGCAAACACCACTCCTCTCATCCTGCCTAACTTTGCGCCACCCCTTCTTCCCTGCTCCACTATGTTTAGTTGTCTTGTGGTCAGGTGACTCAATCGCACAGAGCTGTAGTGAGTGAGAAAGCGCAGCATTGTGTAGAAGTACTTCACAACTGCAAATAAAAACACTGCGAACACAAATCCTGTACTGTGACAAACTAGTATAAATAAAAAGAGCTTTCACACAGAATGAGCAGCAAAAGAAACGAAGACAGGAGGAAGTAAATCCCTCAGACAGACCCAGACCACCAGCATACAGAAAAAGTCTAAAGACATTCCAGGTCTCCCAAAAACACAAGGATAGTTATAAGGCGTGGTCTTGTGTTCATTCATTATCATGAAAAGTAAAAATCACAGTGATTTTTTTTTTTAGTGGTTTTTAAAATGTGTTAATCTTGTAGATAATGACGCACCACTCTCCCCTTCATAAGCTGCTTTTATAAGTTAAAAGTATTAGTATACTGGCCCCGTATTTACTTGGTATCACATCAAAACTTGCACAAATATCACACACCACTAGCAGAAAGTCTAAAACAGGCTACGCAGCTTTCAATGAGCAGACTGCCTGCAGGTGTATGACAGAAAGCCCAGAAACGCAGCTTCACAGGAGGGCAGAAATCAGTTGGGATCCACCCACCAAACCACCTGCAACGAAACACAGAGAAAGGTACAAAGACCTGCTGGCTCGACCCTGTTTTAATTAATCTTTGATTTTCATGCAGCTGTTTCTTTTATTTAACTATTAAATCATATTTAATAATGATAAATGTTAGAAATACAGAAATAAACAACTTGCAGTTATATGTAATAATATATTAACTCTAACATGATTATGAAAACTCAAGATGTTGTATTAGTGGTTAAACTGGTTAAATTAAGGACATTCAGCAACCAGTTTTTTTTTGTTTTTGTTTTTGTTTTTTTGGTTATTTGTTTTTTGGTTATTTGTTTTTCATACATGCTAATCTGATGGCTGAGTCTGCACCTGCTGAACTTGCCTGCTTTGTTGAACTGAACATGCAAGGTGTTAACACGCTGGATCAATCGTTGAGCCTTTTCTATTATCATGCTAAGTCACACTTCACTCTAACTGATCTGCACCAGGAAATTTGTCCAACATGATTAGAAAGAGAAAATTGATCTTTCAAGTCGACAGGTCAAAGTGAAATTTGCTTACTTACTTCCTAGTTGCTCGCTTGTTGAAAAAGAAAGTATGCTGTTAAGAAAATATTAAAAGGTATCTCTTTCATATTAAATAAACTTCCACAAGATACAAACGTTAGTTGTATTTTTTTAAATCAAATGCATTGAGAATACTTTACATGAAATAAAATGTGAAAATAATCATGATATCAAATGGATAAAAAATAGCTTTGAAAGTGATTTTTTTGACAACAGAAAATGTAACACATGTAATCATAGAGACCGATCTACAATATCACTTCTACAATGTACAGTATAATCAACAGATCATTTTGGAGTAGTAGAAGTATAAAATAGAAGATTCTGATCAGAAAGTATATAAACACAGATAAAAACATTAAGAAAAGGTATTGAAACACAACACATTACACAATGTCAAAATGAAATTGTCACTTCTGTTTCTCTTTATATGATGGACACCTTTGCAGTAACTGGTAGAATCCCAGTCTAACCACAGAACACCCTGAATTTTCTGTGCATGAAGCAGCAGATGTAGCATTTGTCTTTCTATAAAGCTTGACTAATTGAGCTGTTTTTTATTTATTTGCCATTTTGTACCACTCTCTACCAAAGAGGTAAACTATGAGAATGTTGGCTTTCTTTGTCTTACCTGGCTCAACAAAACTGAAAACCCATGTGGGACATAACGAATATTACAAAGGTGGTTATCAACTTTCACTGGTTGGGTATTCAGCATGTTACCATGGTGATTTAGCCAGGTAAAAACAAAGTCACTTTCGTAACAGAAAACTCAGGTCACTAAGCCATTAATCTTGCTGTGTGGTACACCCCTTTGGCATCAACAAAGTCAGACTCTATCATTAATAGAAACTGATGGACATTATGAACAATGCTGGGCATCCTCTGCACACGGCCATAAACAATCAGAAGAGTCTGTTCAGTGACAGGTTGCTTCTCCCCAAGACAAGAACTAACAGACTTAAAAACTCCTTTGTCCCACACGCCATCAGACTGTTTAACTCCTCTCTGGAGGGGAGAGGGAGGGGAAACAGGAGGACAAAGGAGGGGGGAACAACTAAGCTGTAGTGCCTCTTCACCTCACTGTACAATACCTTGTGCAATACTTTTTGTAAATAGTCAACAGTGCAATAGACTCAATACTTGAAATGTCCCCACTTGTATTTTATTTTTTATTCCTATTTATTCTATTTATCCCCTTTGTATATTTTATTTATATTTGTCTCTGTATTTATATATGTGTGTGTGTGTGTGTGTGTGTGTGTGTGTGTGTGTGTATATATATGTATATATATAACAATTCTGTAACTGTAACTTCAGTCGTTGCTGTGCTTTTTGGAAGTCGAATTTCCCAGAGGAACCCACCCGAGGGATTAATAAAGTTCTATCTTATCTTATCTTATCTTATCTTAATAGGTGCTGCCCATTTTTTGATCTTGTTACTGTTGCTTGTACTATATTAAGTTCAGCTAATTTATCTAATCAAACCCTCAAGCATCTAGCTGTCTCATCCTAATGCATGCATGCTACAGTAAATTCAAATTTCTTCCGCATTTTGGAGAGGGATTAATGCCATTGGACTGTCAGTTTTAGTTTCATTTCTGCACAGTGATAATGTATTGCACGGCATGGGAAGATACCTCCTAAACCTTTGTACTCCTATTAAATGCACCAAAGGGATAAAGCAGCAGTAGATGTCAATGATGGGATGAATGATCAACCAAGCATAGTGCAATGCATATATCAGTTCATGTGTGTACTCATAAAAATCCAATAGTAGCAAGGACTGTATAAACATGTGGATGCTAGAAGGAGCCAAGCATAGAAAAGTACTGACAGTTATGCCTAAAATCAATTTTGAAGGCTGTTGTTGGCTGTTTATCCTGCCCTGCTTCGCCATTATCCACATGTGAACATAACAGAATGAAGTGATAAGGACAGGAATGAGAAAGAAAAGAAAAATCTGTGTGTAGATTTCAGTGAGTTTCATGGTTAGTGACTCCACCAAATTTACACACACTTTAATGTCAGCAAATTCGATGACTCTACAACTCACAGCCAGTTTAATGCTTGCAGCAGCACACACCAGCCACATCACAATGCTACCTATGAGAACACCATATTTTGTTAAGGCCTGTGCAGACAAGCACCAAGGCTGAACCACAGTAACATAAGAATGCAAAGACATGGCAGTGAGGATCACCACGGCGGTGAATAGTCCCAGAAAATAAATCCCTACACCTACTCCGCAGGCCCACTCTCCAAAGACCCACCCATGGAGTGCATTACAGGCTGCAAAAGGCAATGTCACAGTGAGGCAGAGGTTAGAAACTGTGAGCTGAAGAAGTAAAATATCCGATGTGATCTTCCAAGCTTGTTCCGTCCAGAGGACCCACAGCAGGAAGCTGTTTGCAGGAAGGCTGATGCAGAAGACGAGACTGTTGACAGCAGCAGGATAGTAAAGTTCTGATATCTTAATGTCATACTCGGTCTCACTGCTGTGAGTCTCATTAAAGTGTATGTAATCATAACTGTCACTGTCCAAGGCCATGATTTACTTGTTTAGGTCTTGGGAGGAAAGTACTGTTGAGGAAATGAAAAAAAAATCTTATACTGTGAAGATGATTTTTTTAATTTATTTATTTATATATAGTAACATAATTAATGCATTTTGGTACAAATATGTTAGTCAAGATAAAAACTAATACAGTTTAGAACCAATGATTATAAAGTTGAACAGCATAATATTCATGCCTTCAACAGCATTCAGGAAAAATTAAATGTAGAAATGTAAAAAGAATGACATAACATCATAAATCTATGAATGGCAAATAAAGCATGTCCACAGGGGTTATTGTGAACCAGTGAAGAAAATGGTCAAAACATATAATGTTGCTTGCATAACAGCACTGCAGTTTTATTTAATATTCCCTGGTTAATTCATATCGCAGTTATATCAAATTCCACTCCATATTCCTACATTTCCTTACATTTCCTGTATTTCTGTCACAACATTTATTTTTGTTAATAATAAATAAATAATACTTTATTATTGTTATTATAATAAATAATAAATACTAATATTTTATTATTACATGAATCATTTCTTATGAGTATTATCACCTAATTCAAAAGAGAAAAACAGCCAAGAAGAGCCTACCTTGTGCATGCACTCTGTGTTTCCCTCACTGATTGTGTTAATACACTTACACTTCGTACTAATATGGCAACAGAAATTTGCTTTCATTGCATTTTTTCCATCTAGCCTATAATGACATGTGCAGAGAGAAGAGAGAAGTGAAAACAGCTTCACTGGATTTCAGTAACATTGTATTTTGTTTTTTTACAAAAACAGCATTGCTTGTAAAAGTGCAGTAGAAAACAGATTCCTACACACGTACATTTTGCTTTTACTTGGCACATTAAAATTAAAAATGCATGTAATTTCTACTTAATTTCAGGAGAACATAAAAAAGATGTCAAATTAAATAAGAATATTTACAGATGTTTAACTTCACAAGTGGCTGTTTAACTGATTGTTGTGCAGTTCCAAGTTTATAGCAGAACTCCCAGCTATGAAAACTGCTTTCTGACTAACAGAACTGAGAGATGTGTCTCTCTCCCTGTTCTTCCTGAACAAAAGATTCAACAGATGCTTTCGCATCTTCTGTGAGAGCATATATAGCAGAGGGTTCATACAGCAGTGAGAATAGGCAAGCATTTCACAAATATGGTAGGCAACTTCTAACTGTTCCTGTGCCTTACAACCTATCGGTTTATAAAGAGATTTAATTAAAAGCACAATATGGTATGGCCCCCAGCAAAAGAAAAAGGCTGCAACAATACACAACAGCACAGCTACAGCCCTGTGCTTCTTTCTGTTTAAAGCTTGTAAAACTGTCTTGAGGATGGCAGAATAGCAGAAAATAATGATGGCATATGGGAGGAAAAATAGCAGTGATACTTGGAGATAACGTCCAAGCTTGTCATCAAATTCAGGCTCGCAATAGGTAACATTTTCCCAGTCTACTACTTTTACTATCATAGCATCGCTCAGGGATGCCGAGATGCTGATGACCCAGGCAGCTATACAGGCACCAACTCCAGACTTCTGCCTTATAGCATGGTTGCTCAGCCGGTTGTGCAGCACCACGGTAATGAAGCGATCCACTGTCATGGCAGTCAGCAGAATGACACTGCTGTACAGCCCAACAAAGTATGCAGCAGTCATGAATTTGCAGGCAAAGTCCCCAAAGACCCAGTGGTGTAAATGATCAACGGCCCAGAATGGAAGTGTGATGGTGAAGATCAAATCGGAGCAGACCAGGTTCAGGATGAAAATATTTGTCATTGTGTTCAGTTTCTCGTAGATGAAAAGAACACATAAGAGGAGACCATTGCCTATGACACTGAGGATGAAGATCAGGATGAAAAGGGGGCCGGTGATGTTTGGAAAGTCAGTCTCACAAAGAAATTCAACATGATCACTCAGTCTATAGTCACTCATTGTGAAGTTGTTTTCCTTTGTCAGTTTTCTAAAAAACAAAAAACAAAAAACTAGATTTTTAAAATGTAATTAAAGACGTTAACTGAGCAGTTCTCTATTAAATAACAGAAATTCTTTATTTTAGTTTTAATCTTTGTACATTATGTTAGCAAGTGGGAGCAGCCAGTTGAAGTCCAACTTAGGAGAAATAATACAGCAACTTACCTCAACAATCAGCTGTCAACTCTGGTGTTGAATTGCGCTCTGGTCAGATAGCTCTGATGGTCTTGACTAAAGTAACAGTTCCTCTTTTTGTTTCACATTAAGTCAGAGAGGCTGTCTTAAAAAAAAAAAAAAAAAAAAAAACATGCCCAAAAACCATGGGCAACTTGTTTTTCTGCATTGAAAATCCAACTTAAACAAAATTAAAAGTACATTTTAATATTTTCTCATAGTTTTATTAAAAATGTAACAGACTACAAGCATGCAGCACTAGCCAAAATGAACACAAAAATAACTGCATGTATTATTTTGTTTATTATTTTGTAAAGCAAAAGAATAATGCTGATGGTATTAGAATATGAAAATAAGCACAATACCCAATACTCTGTTGGGAAGAAGTCATGTTCTGCTGAAAACTGGAAAGATTTTTTTTTTTTATTATTATCATGGATAATCAAAGTGACATATATGTATATATATATCTGTAATACCATGTACAGCATAATCAGCAGATCTAAACACAAATGAAATTGCTACAGCAACAAAAGGTTCTTTGATCATAGAAGAGTTTGGTCAGAAACTATAACCACAGATAAGTACATGAAGCAAACTTGATTAAACATAACATATTACAACATATTACAAAATATTACAACATATTACACACCATCGATGTTAAACAGAAGTTTCCCACTTTTCTATTCTTCTTGTTTCAGTTGCACCTTTCCAGTAAATTACACGACTGCACTCTGACCCCAGAACAACTTGAAGTCTTTATGATCCAATCATCTGAATGAGGCTGTTTGAGTTACGATCATAGGTTTGGCAGGATGAACAGCTCTATAATATTTTACTCAGACTTTGCATTAAAAAGTCAGTTTCTGTTATTAGTAACTGCCAGTCATTTCAATTTGTGCTTTTTTTTTTTATACCATTATCTGTAAACTCCAGAAACATAAGTCTTAATCCCAGATATCTCAAAAAGTTTCTGAGACAATCAAACCAGCTCTTCTGGTTTGAAATCATATAGACCACACTCCATTATGATGTTTATGATGACAATAAACCTCTTGAATATGTGTGCATACTTTGATCACTGATGGCTAAAGACATGAGGAAACCAAATGCAGTTTCACAAAGAAGTAGCAGGTTATGTTGCTCAGTCTATTTTTGGCATTTTATTTTTTATTTAATGTTATTTAGTGAATGTTAATATAAACATATTTGACTGAATAATAAATGGCAAGCAATAATCTGATGAAAATAAGCCGTTATGCTGCATTGATATAGGTTACTGATCAGTAATTTTAAAGAAGAGTCAGAAAATGGTTGTAAAAAGCACCAACATTGGGGGAAATCATTTTGGAAAAACATATTGGCAGTTCATTCCCAAGTGAACCCAGATTCAAAAGAACAATGAAATCCGTTTGAGACATTTTGAGAATCAACTATGTTAATGAACAAGATGTATTAGTTCTGTTTTTTTACAATATCAAGGTGCCTGTGACAACTCTTCACCACTTGTTATCGATATTATTGTGTGCCGGTTTTTACTGTTGCGAAAGCTGTTATTGTTTTTTTTGCGGCCCAAGCTCTTTAGCATTTCCTTCAAATGGGTTTTGAATTTAACCCCCACAAACACATAAAACACGGGGTTAAGGCAGCATTGTGAAAAGGCAAAAAGTCGAGTAATCTCAAGCGCATAATCCAGATTTTTGCTATATTGACAATCTTCCCCTAATGAGTCACTTTCTCTGGGCCAGTAGGAAAAGGACTGCAGAAATATCACTAAATTGTAAGGTACCCATCCAACAAGGAAAACAACCATGAGAATAAAAATTAGTTTCAAAGTTTTGTTTCGTCTTCTTTGCACAGGATGAAGCAACCTGCACATGATATGAGTGTAGCAAAACATGAATACCACTGAGGTAATTAGAAAGAGGATGTTTTGCTGGTAGATTCCCCACAAGCTCCAATAAGAATCTGCATATACACAGTACTTTGACTCTGCAACTTTGGTGGAAGCAAAAGCTAGACTGGAAACCAGGATGCTAACGACCCAAATGATCGCAGATGCTACAATACTGTAATACCCTGTGGTGGAAACAATGTCAGACAGAGGATTTATAACAGCTATATAGCGGTGAGCAGTCATCAGGATGAGGAGGATACCGCTGCTGTAGAATCCAAGGCAGAAGATAAAGTTCACTATTTTGCATGCATGCTCCCCTAAGGTCCATCCGTGCATGTTGTAGTAGGCCCAGAAGGGCAGAGAAGCTGTGAAGAAGAGATCTGATACAGCCAGATTCAGGATGAAGGTGTTGGTGAGGGATTTCAAATTCTCAAACTTGACCAGCACCACGAGGACCAGGATGTTGCCAAAGATGCTGAGAATCACCACAATGGAGAAAAAGACTGGAGTGAAGATCGCTCCAAATTGGATGACACCTGTTTTGTTGCAGAGTTCATCGTAGTCATAATCATAGGGGTACGAGGTTGAGTCAAGGCTGGTGCTGATAGTATCTACGTAATCCATTGTATCCACTTTCTTCCAGCATAAAGGGAAATTTAAAAAAGACTGTTAGACAGGTATATCAAGTAGGTCAAATTTCACAGTCTTACTTAAGGACTTATAATATTATAAACCTTTGTTAGACAAGGCTATCTAACAAATATTAGCTAATGGTCAGTGACTCTGTATTTGGATGCATATCTCACTTTTCTCACTTACTCTCTATTATAATATTTAACCAAGAATACATTTTAAAAGTTATTTATATTTATGGACTTAAAAATGTATTTATGTAGTATATTCTATGCACTGATTTGTGTTTTTTGACAGGATTTTATCAACGAAAACATCAAAGAAGAAATGCAGCAAACCTAGAAGCTAGCAAATAAAAACTAATCAAGGACTGTTTGTGACTGAGCCACTTTTGTGTATATTTAGTCATTGCAGTGGGTACAAACTGGCTTGGAGAAACATTGCAGGTTGAGAAGGTACAGCACATTGTGAATTGCCTGACCAAACAGTCTGGTAGAGAACCTTAGAGAAGATGAAGGGCTCAAAGCTTTAAACATAAACCAAAACTTACTTTACCTTTTCACCCTGACTTTTAACTGAGTATGCACTATGGAGAGCGATTAGAAAGCAAAAGAAAATAATATAGTATGTGTAGATTATATTATTTAAGTTTATTTTCTATATTTTAGCTCATACTTTTAGCTGTTTTGCTATTTCTTATTTTTACTAAGTATATTTTTCAGTTTTCTTATCAGATTATTAGGCATACACACAAAAGGTGATTTTGTTTAAAGTTTGATTGACTAATTGGTCATTAGAGATGCACTAATCGACCAGTCAGGAAGAGGAGCCATCTGATTGCCAGAGTTCTCTGTCCTGAGCAGTAAGTCAGCCTCCCATATGTCTGACTGTGAACTTCATTCCAAGTGTCATTCAATTGTGCACAGATACTCACAGGTGCATACTAATGTGTCGTTACCATGGAAGCTCTTCACTGTGAGTGAAGACACAAAGTTGAATTTTGTTTGTTCATGCCATCAAGTACAGGTTTTAGAAATAAAACTGGAACATGAAAAATTGGTACTGAGAGACACTTACAAAAAATTGGAAATTGGAATTGACTAAGAAAATCAATGCATCTTTAATGTTGATCAATATGTAAATGTTGGAATATTGCAAGTAATCGGGATTGGTGGCCTGTTCTTTAAAGCATCAGTAATTTCATGTTTTATGAAAGCCTTGTGATACAAGGCTTATGTTAACACAAGAAGTATCATGTAGAAAATGAAATAAATCATATCAGAATCGGGGTGTAAAGTTAGTAAATCTAAGTAAATATTACCTTACCACACAGAATAAAGATAAGCTACTCCAAGAAGTTTTGTAATTTGAGAAAAAGGAAATTGTTTTGTGTTGCTAGTATAATTTGCTTGAGAACTTTTTTGCAAAAATCCATTCTAAGTAATAAGTAGGATTTTTTTTGAAAACATTCTAATTAAAACGTAGAGTTCTAGATTTATTTATGTCAATGCAACTCAGTTTGTTCAGTGAATATAAGATAGCATTAATGGTCATAAAAGGGGGGAAAGCCACAAAAAGGCTACATACATTCATTGTGTGCAGTGCACAAAGTGCTGTTGTGTGTCATTGTTTTCAATTTTCTCCATAGTTTCCTTAATCAGTGTCCAGGTTTTCACTAAATCAAATGCACAAATTAATCAAAATGTGTGCACAAATCTGCAATAGCAGTCACGCCTGAAAAATGTTCCCACTCTGTAAACATTGATTGAACCTGTACACACTCTAAACTTTAACGTCACTTTCAGCAAAGGTCAACCTTAGACTTTGACTGAAATGAAAGAAAATCAAAACTATACTGTACCTGCACAAAGGGGGTCTGCACACCAGGGTCCTCAGCAAGGTTGTTAGCGAAAGGTTGGTGAGAGTGGTTTTGAATATCACAAAGGTGAACAGAAACTACGCATTTTTTTCAGTTCATCCAATAAGCAGTGATTGTGGGACTTGTGTTTCACATGTGATGAAAACATGTTCCCTGTAACTGAAAACACTTAGTGGTGTGTACAGGTTTCATTTGTAAATCTGTGTTCTACCTGTAACTGTTTATTGAGAAACTTTCATTACTGCAGATAAACCAAAGACAATGAAAAGAGCCGATAGGGAAGAGATATCAAATCAGTTTTCCAATGCATCAAAGGTAGTCCTTTTACAATAAATAGACATTCAGGAAGTGCTGTTGCCTTAGCCGGATGATTCTAAATTGCCCATGTAAGAATAGTGAGAATGAGAATGTGAATGTTTGTCTGTCTGTCTGTTAGCCCTGCGTGAGACTGGCGACCTGTCCAGGGTGTAGCCTCCCTGTCCTCCTACTGTAGCTGGGACGGGCTCCAGCCTCCTCGCGACCATGATAATCAGATAATCGGAAGATAATGGATGGATGGATGGAAAGAAGTATGTGTCTAATTTATTAATATGTAACCCTTAGTAAACACAAATTACATTTGATGTCACTTCATGGCTGTTATTTAACCTACCTACCCAGATGCTGAGTGTTAAGAAAAGTCTGAGCAATAACTAGAACAGAAAAGTCAATAATGTGAATAAATGCACACTGATTTTGTGCGTGCTTGTTTGAGGGCATATGTCTGTGGTCACTTTGGTATTTTTATCCTTATGAGACTGCTAAACTAACAACAAGAGCTTTTTTTTCTAAATAAATTCAGATTCAGACCTCTTTGTGTACCCCAGATATTTAATGTCAGTCAGTTGTTTTGTAATTCTTTTATTTAGCTTGTTTTTATTTATTTATTTATTTATTTATTTTTTTTACGTGAAATGGTCCCTTTATTTAAGCAGCCAACAAGTTCTTACGTTTTTGAATTCTAACAACTGGTTTTAAATACCCTGTACTAATTTTTTACTTTCTATTATGAATTTGAACTCTTAAACGGTTTTACGTTGTATTTATTTTATATATTGTATCGTGTATATCCAGTATTAGACTGTATTCAGCTTTCTATTTTACCTTGCATTTATTTTATCTATCATGTGTATTCCGTGTCATATAAACATATCATGTTTTCAGCTTTCTGTTTATGGTGTGTCTCAACCAAACGTGAACAGACCTCGGCCATACACCGTGGTTAGTCAGCCGTCAATCATTTCCAGAGCCCGCCCCTCACCGGCAGCAAGTTTCTGCTATACCACTGATAAACTGGACAGTCCGGACAATTTTATACATCAAGTACGTGTTTTGTATTGTGATTTATTCAACAACGAAGTCTTTATCCTTATTTACAACCAAAGTAGGATGATTAGCGACAGAAATGTAGATGAAATAAACCAGGAAACGAGTCGCTGAGAGCAGGTGCATGTCCATCCTGTAGCGCTCACTGTTTTGACAAATCGATGTTTATGTCGCGGTTTGTTGCATTTTAAAGTGATAGGAGTCAACTTTATTGGCTCGTCATGGCGACGGTGGATAAATCTAGACAAATCTTGTCCCAGTGCGCTCTGACAAAGACGATGTAGCGACAAATTGTGACCTGTCGTTGTTCCTTTGTACATGCAGTTAAATTTTGTTAACTTTACTGTTACTTCGTTTTACAGCCACCAGAGCCTTCATGAACCTCCTACTTTACAGCAGGAGGAACTAATTTAGGACTGCACTGTTTACCTCCGAGTGTTTTCTGTGTGTGTGTGTGTGTGTGTGTGTGTGTGTGTGTGTGTGTGTGTGTTCTGGAGAACTCGTGATGACGTGCTAGATAACTTGAATTTCCCTTTTTTATCCCTCTGTGAAGAATTGCCTGAGTACATCCCTACAATGGCCTCCACCTCAGTTGGGGATAAACAGTTGCAGAGGATAATCAGAGATCTGCATGGTAATCAAGCTCTCCACACATACAGCAAACCCCATATGTGCATTACAGTAGATACAATATCATGCAATATGCATCAGGTGTCTTGTCCAAAGGATTCTGCAATATTTACATCAGCCAAAGATTTTTTTTATATGTAAATGTTTATTTGTTTGTTTGTTTGTTTTACCAGATGAACTATACACTAACCAGTTACAGCATTTACCAGCATCACCAGACAAATACTGTGTCAAGTCTCCACCTGCCACCAAAAAAGCTATGACCTGTCTGAGCTGTTTTGGCAGCTCGTTTGGGAATGTCCTGGGGTGCAAGAATAGGGAATCAGTTAAGGGTCCAATTTTGTGCAGTTGGTCTAAATTCGGTGTCACCGAGCTTTTCATGTACTTTATTCATAGCTGAAGAGTTTGAGTTTTTGCACACCTGATATGTACAGAACCTTTTTTCATACTGTATATCAACACTGTGTGTTCAGATTAAAAAAAAGAAACAAAGCAGTCACATTAAAAATAACTCTGCAAGATTCCTTTTTTTCCTCACAGAAAACATAAAAAAGAATCAATTACAGTAAAGTCCTTTAAAAGCTTTTCAGTATCCAAACCCTACTTGGGCCTCCATACTGTAAATAGGTCATGTTTCTGTACATCCCATTAAGTTTAGAGGCTAAGTCAACATACTAGGATCAGTTTTTTTTGGTGTGTCTCATAATTTTGCTGTGGGAGGTCACTATCTTGGGGAATAGTCTTCTTTTGCAATTATGTTTAAGGTGTGTCTTAGTAGTGTCCACATGACCCAAGATTTCCCGGCCAAACACGGTATTATAGTGACACGACCAAAGGTATTCACTCCACCTGTCTATGGCTTGAGTGACGTGGCTGCTTGGTTTAAATGTCACAAAAATATTCTGGGACAAAAAAAAAATCTATCTACACAAAATCACATATTTGTGTTTGGGTTAATAATGCTCTTGTTCTTCTTTTTTAAAATGTAGATGCAGTGATAGAGTTAAGTAAGGAACACAGGGAGTGTGGTGAACCCATAACGGACGACTTCGCCAACCTGCACAAGTTCTTCTACAAACTAGAATACCTGCTGCAGGTATGTCGCCATATCAAAGAGAGTAGCATTGGGTAAATTAAACCATAAGTACCTACCACTCCCCCCACACACTCTTCCTTTATCGTATGTGCTCACATAGCCCTTAATGGATCTGAGCCAGAGAACGCATCAGTTAATCATAGCATCTCAGCACTTCCATCTAATGCTTGCTTTTCCCTTTATTTCATTCATTCTTTCTTTTGTGGTTTCACAATTTTATGCGTTTTTCTGCATAACTGGGGAAGTGGTCACACATTGTCTTGAACATATTTGTTAATTGCTTAGCAAAAGCTATTTCTGTTGGAGCCGTTACTAGAAAGACAGTTCCTGAGGCATGTCTAGCCATCAAACTATGTGCATGCTTTACCCGATCCAGTTGACCTAAACCTTGGGCCCCGCTCTTTCTCAACCAGATCAAGGCACAGTAAGGATAATCACACCAGAGTATGGCACGAAGCGATCACACTCAGTAAATACTCTCCAGGATTGTATAGATTGCCTAGTGTGAATACACCATTAGCTTCTGGTGGAAGTGGCTAATTTTAAGGGGATCCCGGTGTAGCCAGTGGATTTCTGAGCAAAGAGATCCATTTCTGCTTGCAAAAAAAAAAAACACAGAACTATTTACCTGCATGTAACAGAAGCCTGGTCAAACATGACTTGTCAGTACTATTGGGAGTGCTGTAGACTAGTGTTCTTAAGTTATGAACTCTTAAAATGAAACATTTCACAAGACTCATCTCACAAGCCTTCCTGTATTTAAAGGTTATGAGTCCTGATACCAGTGAGTAATTTCTTTAATGTGCTTGAGCTGTTCTTGTAAAGTCCAAGTTGAAGAAAATACACATTTGTGTAGCTCAACTATGTCTTTTTCTTTCCCTTAATCTTCTTGAATTACATTAACAACTACTAAACACTAGCAACTCAGTCACCACGGTGATGTAGTACAGTCCACATTACAGAGCACGTTGTTTATGAATGCAATAATTTTGTGTCCTTTGTGTCTCTTAGTTTGACCAAAAAGAGAAGACAACCTTTCTTGGCCAGAGAAAAGACTACTGGGATTACTTCTGCGACTGCCTGATTAAGATCAAGGGAGCTAACGATGGCATCCGTTTCGTTAAGTCCATCCCTGAGGTAATCCTCCTCTGCAGCACACGCGTACACTTAGTCACCCTTCGTGCCTCAGCCCTTCCATGGCGTGAAACACATGCGCACATGTATACAGACAGTGACCGTATAACCATGTAACTAATATTCCGACCAATCAGGTGCACTAAGGCTCAACGCTGCTAATTCACATGCTATCTTACACTTGTGCCACCTGTACTGTTTCCTCCTCACTTTTTGTCCTGGAAATTCACACTGGTGAGCCTCATACTTCAATAACTATTCATGATTTGGACCTAGTTTGTATTGTAATGAATTGGTTTCCTGTTGAACTGTTAGTAATATTTGGTGGTTAAGTGATCAAAGTGTTCTTTGTGTATTGGTTATTAGCATTTACAAGTTATGTTGTTCTATTTGTAAAGGCAACAGCTATGACTACGTTCATTATCTGCATATTTCATGGTTATTTTCCTGCATTCCAATAGACGTTGGGTACCCACTTTTATAGATGATAATTTTAGGGTACTGAATTATGTGCCAGATAATTTTTGACTTATCATCTATTTTTAAACTATTTTTGTAATTGTTTATCACAAGCCTGTTAATATTTTTTTGCTGTTAAGTAATCCTTGATTTGATAACATAAGGAAGACAGATCTGTGGTTTAAAGTTTTTTTGAGGGGGGAGGGGTGGGGTTTAAATGGGTCAGCGTGTTTATTTTCAGAAGTCACACAGTCTAGTCAATAACATCTGACTGATAATTAATAATTAAAAACCTTTGGCACTCTGAAAACCTAAAACATTATTTTTTTTTTCTCTTCTTTTACTGTTTTTATTTGCTGTCCATTGGTCAGAGACATAAAGACGTCTCCAGCTGGTGTCTGTCTGGTGTATCTGTGTCTCTTATCTTACTTAAATCCCTCCATCTGCCAATGCATTGGAGAGTCTAGGCTTAGAAATAACATTGTACATCTATTCTCTATATGGTGATCATCTTTAAATTTAGATATCTTTAAGCTGAACTGCGATTTATGCAGTAGAATTAAACATTTCCATGTTAAATTGAAATGGCCAAGACTGTTGCTGAAGACAACTAAAACTTTGATCCTTAAAGTCTGCGATGAACAGATTTTACATTTACTAACCTCAAAAATGGCAAAAGAGCTGTAGTCTTATTTTTAAAAGTCTTAACAGTTTCCTTTTAATGCTTTATACAATAATATTTTAGGAAGTAGAAACTGACGTCTGACCTATTTAACAAGTTAGATAAGAAAAACAGTGGAGGTTAGTCCACCTTGGATTGAGTTTGCCAGTGTTGTGCATGTTTATGACAAAAGAGTCTATTTTTGTGTGTCCTCAGTTGAAGACATCACTGGGGAAAGGAAGGGCTTTCATCCGCTACTCGCTCGTTCACCAGCGTCTTGCTGACACACTGCAGCAATGTTTTATGAATCTGAAGGTCACAAGGTGAGAGGACACATCAGCTCAGATTAATCTAATGTTCACTTAACGCATCGAAATATCGTAACATTTAAGACTAAAAATAATTAGATGATTATTTTTAGTCTTAGTGTTATGGGCAAAAGAATTCTGTAAATGATAGAAACTGGAAACACTATCTGTAACACTATTTTACATTTTAAAGTGGATATTATGTGCTTTAGTTACATTGAGCAGTTGCTTCTGTGATCACTTCCTAGTGATGTCATTTTCTGTACTTGGACAAGGTAGCGCTAAACATGCCCCAAAATCTGTAACTTTAAACACTTATTTTTAAAATCTAGTTTTAAGTCTGTATCAGTTTATGCAAGCAGGACCCGATGGTATGTTTCATGTCTGCTTTAAGAAGAAAAAAGCATGATATCAGATTGAATGCCTGACTTAAACATTGAGATCTATGGACATGTTCCATGACAGTTCAGTTTAGTGAGAATATTAAACCCGTTTCGATGCACACTTAGGCTTAAATTCATAAATACTATTGTTTTCATGGTAGCTGATGATATTGAAATCTAAAAGGTCAGCTTTAATGTATTCTATGCTGCAAGTTGTGAAATGACAAAATTCTGGATACTGGGCAGTGATAAAGCTGACATTGCGCAAATGACTGCAGTTAAGGTTTAATATGGAAGCCCGTTTCCGCCACTAAAAAAAAAAAAAAGGATCCATAACTCAAAATTTTGAGTTATTTTCTTGAAATTTCGAGTTATTATCTCGAAATTTCGACATATTAACTCAAAATTTTGAGAAAAGCAACTCGAAATTTCGAGTTAGCGCTGCCAATCAGTAATCTACGTGAATGACGTCATTTCCATGTTACCCGGAAGCTGAAGCCCTCAGCTACAAATGCTACAGCTAAGCTACCGGTATTACATCCAGTCGTGAATGCACAGATTGCTGAGTGTTTTCAGCCTGGCTTCACAAATGATGTGTTATTAGCTGAATCACATGATGTTACTATCAGCAAACATACTTTAATTTGTTGGGATCCGTTTTTGAGTGCGCGGTCCTGCGCCATATGCTTCCGGGTAACAAGAAAGCGACCTCATTCACGTATATTTTTGATTGACAGAGCTAACTCGAAATTTTGAGAAAAGTAACTCGAAATTTTGAGTTATTATCTCGAAATTTCGAGTTATGCATACTAGCTTTTTTTTTTTTTTTAGTGGCGGAAACGGGCTTCCATAGTTTAATCTCCACTTATCTGAAAAGAAGAAATTATTTACAAAAAACTGACAAAACAAAATTAGGAAAACATAATTTAATAATGGAAGCTTAAAGTATTTCCCTGGACTAACCGATTAATCAAAGCTAATTAGAATGTGTAATTCTGTTGACTGCATGCATTTCCTTCATGGCTACATGCAACATGAACAGTGGTTTATCTCTAAATGTCCTAATTCATCAAAGAGTACTTGTTATTGAAGATAAATTGATACATTTTACAGTTCCTGACTATGACAGTTTGAAAACTGTTGCCAAGATGTGTGTTTTACTCCAGGCATACTGTACTGCTTTGTTTTGGATGTTCTTAGGAAGTGTGATTCTCCCTTCCTTTTTTATGTCCTATTTCTCCTTTTCGACTGAAATCACAGCAACCAAAAAAAAACTTGACCATAGACCTTTGTAGCACTGCTCAGTTCCTGTCTTTTCTCAAATCAAAATGTCAGTTTTATTTTTGCGTTAAGGAAAAAAAGAAGTAGTTTATTCTCCACGCATAGTAAAACTAAACACAGCAGTTTACACCAATGACATGCTTAGTTTGCAAGTTTCTCTTCACATAAACAATATTCAAAATGTAAAGAAAATAAAAATGCAAATAACAAAATGCAGGTTTAAGTAATAAGTAATTAACAAATAAAGAAATGAGTTAAAAAAAAATATAGCTCATCTTAAAAACCAGAGATGCAGTATCTGTGCCTTTTGCAAATAAAGGAAGCGCTGTACAAATTAGACGCAGTCTAATGGGCCATGTTTGGCAGTATGAAAGAGAAAATATTTAACTTATATTTAAACACAGTGGGTTTTGTAAGTATTTTACATTCAGTAGAGATTCAGCGTAGTTAGCAAACACACTGGAATGAGGAACCTCAGGAATGGACCTGAAACAGGTTTGGTGTTTTGGTGGTGGGTGGCAGCTTCTATGTTTGAGCAAATAATTCTTCACCTCTGGGGTGCAAAAGCATTTTTCCCAATATGAACTATGAAAAAAACAAAATACCATTTCATACGACCTTTGGTGCTGGACTGAGTGCGCTTAGAAATAGTGCCTAGAAATAGTTTTTCTTTTCTTTTTTTTAAATTTCAAGACTTTGAATACTTCAGTAAAAACTTTCCCTGTTTTCAGTCTATAGGCTCAGCTTATGTAAGTCTATAGGCTCTGTGTAAATCTGTGCCATCACAGATTTACACAGATTGCAGTGTAAATCTGTGCCATCAGATTTACACTGCAAACATGCTGACAGTTGTTTTATTTAAACAATTAAAGCGTTCTCAGAAAGGGTAGCCTCATTACTTTATGTCTTCATTTTATGTCTGAATTATTTTTTAAATCTTTGAAACCTTTATTTCTCTGTTCTCTAGATAGCGCAAAATGTCTTCTGTTTTTCAGTATATGAGGGAGTGTTTATTATTGTTGATAGAGCAAGGAAAAGGAATAGCAAGGATATTGATATTTGGTTGATATAAATAAATACATTTTATTTTATTTTTTTGGTTTCCCTTTCCACGGTGCCAAATTTGGGAGGAAAATATATTTGGGGGTTGAGCAGCAACTACTGAGACTTGTTTTAAGCTTGAGCATGCTGTTTGTGACAGATTGACCGACACAACCACACTGGTGAACTTGTAACAACTTCTGGTCAAAGAACCATCCCACAGCAGTGTGTGACCAAGTTCTTGACCAGCATAATGGGGAGGTGCCAGGCTATTGTGTGTATGGTTCCTCCACATGCCTCCACTGAGGCTGCTGTTTATTTAACTAATACATTGTTGAATTTGAATGTATAAGCGTTGAATGGATTTTAATGCAACTTTGTGTAGAGTCATGTTAACAAGAAATTTAAAATTTGCGTTACTTTCACCAAGGTGTTCATGGGTAACTTAATGAGTTACTGGTTGAAAATTAACAAGAAGTCTTATAACTTGGAAACAATTATTATTAAAAGTGTGATGTGTATTGTCATTATGTAAAAGGTACGGTATAAAGATATAAAGATAAAATATCTTGTCACGTTTAACAAGGTTAACAACAACAAGGTGACAGTATTGCTTTATAGTGCTATTTAAAGCTGTTTTTTACTGCCATTGTTTCTATTGACAAGTTGTGGGCATAAAGGGAAAGCTTTAATTTGAATATTAGCTTTGTATGCCAATGTCTGTGATGTATATCATACCTTTAAATGTATTTTTTCTGAATGTTTCTGTTTTTACTAGTTGAAATTCTCTGACTTTCATTTTGTGAGTTGTTTTTTCAACTTTTTTTTCTATTCTTCCGATAAAGTGACTGGTATTATGCCCGGAGTCCTTTCCTCAAGTCTCACCTGACTGGAGACATAATCAACAATCTTTATGAACTCAACCAGATCCAATTTGATGTGGCAGCCAGAGGTTATGACCTTGATGCAGATTGGCCAAAATTTGCAAGGTATGTATGTATGAACAATAGAAGACTAAAAAACTTTATAACACATAATTCTTCAACCTGGAAAACATGTAAGGTGTAAGAGACTAAATATCTAGACTGAACACATTATTTTTTTGCAAATGTTGAATTGTGGTGAAAGCGTACTGGGTTTTTCACAACTTGAAGTTAACACCTAATTATCTTATCTCCCTGCACATTCACAGTTCTGTCTTTTTGCTGTATTGCTCGTGTGTGCGTAGGTGTGTGTGTGTGTGTGTGTGTGTGTGTGGTTGCTGACAGTGTGTGAACTTGGATCATTGTTTCTTCTATCAGCAGCTTTGTCAAAACTTTCAACTTCGTTGCAATAAATTCAAGCAATACTTTCATAACCTTGCTCCTCCGTATTTGTGTGATCTTACATACATATAGAGTGCACTTTCACCAGATCTCCGGACTATAAATGCCCTCTACATTTAAATCACGACTCAATCTGTTCAGAACTGCAAACCCTTCATTATAACTTGGTCTTAGTCTATTGTTACCTCAATTAGTTTTATAGTTGTGATTTTATTTGTTTACTTTATGTTTTTATTTTGCTGAAATAATGTAAGGTGACCTTGAGGGTTTTTAAAGGTGCCTATAAATAAAATGTATTGTTATTACTATTTTTACAAGCTATTAGAAAAGACAGTAGAGTCCTGCACTCTTTTTAAGAAATTCTTAAAAAGAATTTGCTGCGGTTGTCAATTCTATTTCCAATGAGTAGCATGAAATCATCACTTTCTAATTCCAGAGAAGAAATGTGTAACGTCTGAGTGACTTCCTTGCTTGTATTTGTGTAAATTGACTCATATTTTCCCCACTAACAAGAAAAGCATAAAAGCTGGACTACATTTCAAATCTGTTCGTCCATTTAACATACTGCTAAAATTAAATTAACTTTTCTCATTTCATCGAATGAACTAATCTCATCTAAAAGTAGACTTTATGGCAGTCTATGGGATTTTTTTCGTTTTTTATGTTAATCTTTTCTACAGAATTAAATGCCACTGAGTGTGGGCTCCCACAGTAAAATTAGGCAAAATAGTTCCTTTTAAAATGAAGAACTAAGAGTTTTTTAAAATGACCTCAGTTATACTCTGTAAATATTGCATATTTTCTTGGGTTCTTTAAAATCTTGGCATGTTCTTGGTATGTGTATTGTATATAGGTGTGGTTTTTACTTCCTGTTAACCATTTCTAAATAATACAGTTCTTTCTGGTATATATTACAGAAAATTAGCAGAACTTTAAAATAAAGCATTTTCACTGTTTGTCATTATGTGACCCTAATATTTGGTGTCTCATTAACAAAGGCGAACATTAGGATCTGGCTCCTCAGCTTACCTTTGGAAACCCCCGAGTCGCTGCTCTAGTGTGAACAGTCTGGTTAGCAGTTATTCACACTCACAGGTACACAAAAACTGTTATATCAGTATTTCCCACAATTTTCTGGTTAAATGTGACTAATGTTTAATGCACCTGACCTTTGCTCTCTCTTTTTCCATGCACTGAACAGGGTCAGGAGTTCCTTCCAGTCCCAGACTTGAGCCACAGTGGTCTTGATGAACTGGGAGAACTGGGGGAACCTTCTTCCTGCAGCATTGCAGAGAATCTGCGCATTGAGCTTGACCAGTCCGAGCTCAGACAGCAGGAGCTTTTGGTGCGGGTTCAGGAGTTAGGCAAGGAGGCTGCGGAGCTGAAAGATATTGTAAAACACCTTCAAGAACAGTTGTCAGCTCAGAAGTCTGCCAATTCGACATCTACAGCAGTCCAAAGTAACCCAGAAACATACAGTGAAGAAAGAGTTAATCACTATCAAACCTGCAGGGAACCGATAAGAAGTGAACTTCAAGATAGACTCACAACTGCTGAGAACAAAAATATGGAGCTTCTTTCTAAGTTAGATGAGGCTCTTAAAGAAAGGGGCCAACAAACTGCTAGTTACTGTGAATCAGCCTGGAAAATCCAGGAACTCCTGGATAAACTCAAGTCTGCAGAGGAGGGGAGGCTGGAGGCTAAGAGAGAGGCTGAGGACACGGCGAGGCACTGTGAATGTCTGTCGCAGCAACTAAAACTCAGGGAAGAAGAATTGAAGAATGCTAAGGAGAGGCTAGCTGAAGTAAAAGCTGGAGCTGATGACGAACGGGAGGCAGCGCTCATGCGGTTAGAGGAGCTCCAGAGTGCGGTTGGTCGAATTCAGGGGGCATTGACTTTGAAAGAGAAAGAGACAGGGAATTTGAGAGCACAGCTTCAGGACCTGCAGGCCTCACTGGAATGCAGGGAAAGGCAGGCGGAGGAACTGAGAAAAATGCTCCAGGAAGAGAGGGAGGAGGTAGAGAAGCAGTGTAGTCTCAGTAGCAGCCAGAATGAGGAACTTGAGAGTCTGAGCTTGGATTTAAGAAAAACGCTTAAAAGCAGAGAGAAAGAGCTAGCTGCGAGTTCAGAAAGAATCAAACATTTGGAGGAGCAGTTAGATAAGCTAAACGTGGGGAAAGAAACAGTGGCCCCTCGAATTATTGATGATGAAATAACATCTTGCAGTCAATCAGAGAATACTGCAGATGACAAAACACAGTTCAGCAGTCTAATGGAAATAAATGCTAAGCTTCTCCAAACGGTTAGGAAAAGTGAGGTAAGCATTTCCGAGCTAACTGAGAGCAGGGCTGCCCTGTTAGACCAGCTAGCTTCTTTGAAGGCGTCTGAGAAGCACTTCAGAAGTAGAGTAGAAGCTGCAAAGATGAGTGTGGAAGACAGAGAGAAAAAGCTTTTAGATGAAAACCTGAAATTGGAGGAGATGGTTCAGAAGGCGTTTATGCAAAGGGAGCAATCTGATGCTCAGTTAAAGAAGCTGGAGCATGAGAATACTGAGCTTCTCGGCAGTCAGTCCACACTGAAGAAACAGTTAGCCACAACTCAACAGGAACTGGATTCATTCACTACCAAAGCTGAAAAGTTAGAGAAGAACATTATAGCGTCGCAGAAAAGCCAAGCAGAGTTACTTGAAAAGCTCCAGGAAACCGAAGCTAAGCTAAGAGACCAGACTGTAAAATGTGAGCTTCTCCAAGGTCGAACTGATGAGCTAGAAAGCAGGAGTGGGGAGCTGCATGATGAAAAAGGAGCCGCAGAGAGCAACGAAAAAATGCAAAAGCTTCACAGTGAGCACCAGACTTCCTCAGTGGAATCCAAAGAGGCCCCATTCAGGCTGGTTATAGCTGAGGCACAACTGGAAGTCAACGTGAGAGAGGTAACCAGGCTCCAGGAAGAGGTGGTGGAGCTTAGGGCACAACTCCTGGCAGGAAATGAGGAGAGGATGAAAGCTCAGGCCCTGCAGGAGGTGACAGAAGCCTCCAGAGAAGACCTTCGTGTTTTAGTAGAACAACTGAAGGCCCAAGTGGAGGAACTAAACCGCCGGCATGTGGATGAAATTCTTAGATCTCGCGAGCGTGAGGAGGCTCTTATTCGTGAGCGAGATGGCGAGGCACAGGCTCGAGCCGGTCTTGCTGCAGAGGTGACGGCCTCTAGAGAGGAGCTTGATAAGCTTAAGATGCGTTACAATGCTTTGTGTCTGGAGAACAGTGAATCAAGGGAGGCCCTTCACAGAGCCAACACAGAGACCGCAGAACTAGGCGTGCACGTGTGCATGCTGACCGCTGAGAACGAGGAGGCTCGGCTGCGCTGGGAGGGTCAGTCAACAAAGCTGCAGGAGCTGGAGGAGGAGGCGGCTCAGGAAGCAGGAAGGCTGAATGCCTGCATGGAGCAGCTGCGCAAGGAGAACCAGGAGCTCCACAGTCAGCTCCCAAACACTGAGAATTTGATGGCATCCAAGGAGAAACTGGAGAAACAGTTGAGGGAGGCCCAACAGGAAGTCGAAGCTGTGCGGGAGATGAACCAGGAAGAGAATCAACAACTGCAGCTGCAGCTCAGCAGTGAAGCTGTGAGCCATGAAAGCCAGCTCCAGGTCAGGCAGAGTAAAGTATACATGTACAAAGTTACTGTTGTCTTCCCGTTTATGACATACTTCCTTGTAAACAAAACTGTTTCTTATAAACTGAAAAACAGTTTTACACAGCTTAATTTTTTGAAAGAAATCTGTTAGCGAAATTACAGGTTTCTTTTTAATGTTAACTTTTGAGCTCATTCTTTTAATGCAAATTTAGGATTGTGCATCAGTCTTGTCCTTGTAAACTGTGATTATGGTTGGTTGGCATTGTTCATGTGTTCTTCTTAATGAATATGTCGCAACCCATCAGTGCTGGTATAGAGTTACTTAAGTTAAAGAAGGAAATAAAGCAGGTATTTATTTATTTTTTCCTTTTTCTGACCATCTCTTTGCTCCTGCTTTGATATATAACTGAAATATTAGTACAGACTGACCCTCTTGTGCACTTTTATCTCGAGTCTGGTCGGTTACAAAAATTCAGATCTTACACGATGAGCTGAAATGACGCTAAAGTTGAGCACTCAACAAAAATGACATTGAAACCCCTGCTACGTGCTGCATTTGCATATGAGTATTGCCACATAATGTCATTCAGCATCATGTGTTTGGAAATATAAAGCAGATTATTCAAGTTTCAGTCATGAGTACATACATAAATGAAGCCTGATCTAAGTATAGCATACAAGATCTTAAATGGAGTCAGGACATTTGAGAAAAAAGGTGTTACTTTTGGAGCAGTGGTCCCAATTTGCATTTGTACTGCACTTTCATTTACATGTGAAAGCCTCCCCGGCACTAGAGGAGATTTTCACGCTTTGCGTTTTTGTAAAACTGCCAGAAATTCCACAAATTCTATGTCAGTTTGTGGAAGTTTTTATCTGCTGCCTACACTTTTCTTTGAAATAATATTATCCTCAAATTGTACAGCAATTTACAGAGCTGTTTGATGATTCCACTTTTTAATATAGTGAGGTGAGCGACAGAACCTGCACCTGGTTATCGGGGAAAATCACTGGTTATTACAGAGAAATACAAACGCATTCCCATATTCTCAAATAATTTCATCTGCAGTCCTGAGAATAAGTAACCATACCACTGAACTCTTGCTAAGATGCAGACACGTGCTTTTAGAAAAAGTTGCACAGTCTCACTGCACTGTACACGAGCAATATAAACAAGTCATCTTTTTTGTTACTACTAAAATATTTAGGCCATGATTTTGAAAATAACTAGAATGTATAGAAAGATTTATACCAACTCGGCTAGAGTGCAACTAGATATGTTTTCTACATACCCTGCTCAACGTTAATGATGAATTTCTGATTATTTTTTGTCCATCTAGAGCACGATTCAAGAGTTAGAGGATGTTAAATTGCAGCTCCAGACTGAGCATGAGAAGGTAGTTGCCCTGGAGAACAACCTCAAGGGGCTAGAGGTAAGAGGATAAAAAATTCAGTACGGTGTTGTAAACAGAAAGTCCATCCATTTTCTTCTGCTTATCCGGGGCCGGGTCGCGGGGGCAGTAGCCCAAGCACAGAAGCCCAGACCTCCTTCTCCCCAGCCACCTCCTCCAGCATAGCCAAGGCGTTCCCAGGCCAGCCGAGAGATATAATCTCTCCAGCGTGTCCTGGGTCTGCCCCGGGGCCTCCTCCCGGTGGGACATGCCCGGAAAACCGCGCCCATGAGGCATCCTTGTCAGATGCCTGAACCACCTCAGCTGGCTCCTTTTGATGTGGAGGAGCAGCGGCTCTACTCTGAGCCCCTCTCAAATGGCCGAACTTCTTACCCTATCTCTAAGGGAAAGGCCAGCCACCCTTCGGAGGAAGCTCATTTCCGCCGCTTGTATTTGCGATCTCGTTCTTTCGGTCACTACCCACAGCTCGTGGCCATAGGTGAGGGTATGGACGTAGATCGACCGGTAAATTGAGAGCTTCACTTTTACACTCAGCTCTCTCTTCACCACAACAGACCGGTACAGCGTCCGCATCGCTGCAGCCACTGCACCAATCCGTCTGTCGATCTCCCACTCCCTTCTCCCATCACTCGTGAACAAGACCCCGAGATGCTTAAACTCCTCCACTTGGGTTAAAGAAGAAAGTTAAAGAGCCAAACTACCAACAAACAGACTCCTCTTAAAAATAATTTCTGTTGGTTTTTGACCATTAAAACCAACAGGTTATGGTCCTGAGTGGGAAATTCATGCAAAGAAAACAGCTTCTGAATACTGCTTTATGTGAAGCATTTTGTATTTTACATCTCTAATTATTTTAGAGAACTTCCCTGAGATAGTTCTTTTTTTCCCACATTTATTTTGAAGGCTCTTTGTCTGTTATTCATCGTCATAAAAGCCACCTGAAACTCGCATTGGTTTAATTTTGCAAGAAGATTTTTAGTTGTGGTCAACATGCTGACAGTATTCACATAGTGAAGTGGTTTTACATGTGGAAATGGAACTTCTTTGCTGTCTAACACTGACCACACTAAAGTCATCGCTGGAGGATGATGCGTGACAAAACGCATGTGTAGCTTGCGCAGCTCGATCTGCATTTTCATGTGTGGGGTTGATAAATGGGAAAACAAATTGCAGTTCCATTCTGTATATTGTCAATTGAAGTAACCATAATGTTATATTCACAAACATAATTCACAAAGAGAAAGAAATAAGGCTGTGCTTTGCTGCGCTGATTGCAGGCTGAGAATCAGAGATACTGCCAACAGATTGAGGAGACAAACATCCAGATGGCCGAGTCTGAAAACCTCATCCAGCAGAAAGAAGACGAGATAATCCATCTGAAAGGGAATTTATCAAGGTGAGATACTGTATTCATAATCACACATTCTGGACCAAATTAAAGCTCCTGATGAAAGTTTTTAATCTTGTCTGTTGTGAGCTGTCTAGCCCAGAAACAACCAAATACACGTTGTCTGTGTTGGTGGCACGGAGTCGAATCTCTCTGGGTACTCCCTCTTTGTCACACAGTCTAAAGACACCCATGTTAGGTTAATTGGCAAGTCTAATTTGGCCGTAGGTGTGAATGAGAGCATGATTGCTTGTCTCTGTGTGTTAGCTCTGTGATGACTGTTAGCCTTTCTAGGGTGTACCCTGCTTTCCTAGTGACAGCTGGGATAAGGTCTGCATGGATGCTCGATCCTCCATGTTTTTTTGGTCAGCATGTATTTGTGCTATATGCAGATCTGAGGAGGCGTTAGCAGTTGCTCAGCGGGCCTGTCAGGAGATGGCTGAAAACCTACGGAGAGTCACACAGGACAAACAAAGCTTTGACGTGAAAATGGCTGCTGAACTGGATGATCTTTACCGTACCAAAATCAATTTGGAAGAAAGGCTTGTGGAGCTCATCAGGTATAAACGTCTTTTCTTTTTCCACAGATTAGCTTAATACAAAATCATTTCTGGGGGTTCAGAAAGAATCAAACATTTGGAGGAGCAGTTAGATAAGCTAAACGTGGGGAAAGAAACAGTGGCCCCTCGAATTATTGATGATGAAATAACATCTTGCAGTCAATCAGAGAATACTGCAGATGACAAAACACAGTTCAGCAGTCTAATGGAAATAAATGCTAAGCTTCTCCAAACGGTTAGGAAAAGTGAGGTAAGCATTTCCGAGCTAACTGAGAGCAGGGCTGCCCTGTTAGACCAGCTAGCTTCTTTGAAGGCGTCTGAGAAGCACTTCAGAAGTAGAGTAGAAGCTGCAAAGATGAGTGTGGAAGACAGAGAGAAAAAGCTTTTAGATGAAAACCTGAAATTGGAGGAGATGGTTCAGAAGGCGTTTATGCAAAGGGAGCAATCTGATGCTCAGTTAAAGAAGCTGGAGCATGAGAATACTGAGCTTCTCGGCAGTCAGTCCACACTGAAGAAACAGTTAGCCACAACTCAACAGGAACTGGATTCATTCACTACCAAAGCTGAAAAGTTAGAGAAGAACATTATAGTGTCGCAGAAAAGCCAAGCAGAGTTACTTGAAAAGCTCCAGGAAACCGAAGCTAAGCTAAGAGACCAGACTGTAAAATGTGAGCTTCTCCAAGGTCGAACTGATGAGTTGAGCTCATCAGGTATAAACGTCTTTTCTTTTTCCACAGATTAGCTTAATACAAAATCATTTCTGGGGGTTTTTGTTTTTATTCTTAAGTTCTTTTTTACCTTTTTCTTTTGGTTAGGCTATTCTGCAACCATCACATTTCAGTCTGTCTCATAAAATATAATGTTAGCATTTTAAATAAACTGCCTCCAACATTCCTAATAATGGAGTTTAACTTTAAGAACAGTCCGTATCAAATTGGCTGTCAAAAATCATTCTACTGGTATCAGTATAATCTAAATTTCTGGTACCGTGACATCCACACTGGAAGGGCGGATTTTGAAAAGTGTAAAAATATGCTTGTGCTTGTTGCAGGGAGAAAGATGCCCTTTGGCAGAAGTCAGACGCTCTGGAGTTTGAGCAGAAGCTGCGGGATGAGGAGTCGGAGAGGGACGTTAACTACTGTCTGGGCTGCCACACTCAGTTCAGCTGGTGGTTCCGCAAGTACAGCTGCAGGTGATGGTCCATCAAAACAGAAACTGCTTGGAAGCACCAACCAGTAAAAGCACACTCATTTCTTTCACAGCTTCTCAACACTCTGAGGTCATTCACTGCGTGTTTACACTGTGGTTGTGTGATAACTGTTTTCTCACACATTCCTCACTTGGTTTACATTGAGCATTGCAAAGCACTTCTACAAACTTAGTTCTGCAAAAGACTGTGCTTATTCAAAACATGCACACATGTGTAGGACATGATAATGCATGACCGTGACCCTCAGTGACCTGAGGGAAGTGAAGACAAAGTCAAAGTGACTATGATACAGAACTCTTTGTGCCTCATGAAGCTTTGTGATCATTATTCAGATACACTCTGTTCTACCACTGAATGGTATCCCTCACAAATGCATCACTCTCAATTCAGCAAATGTACACCTTGTCGGGTACCCGGTTGGACCCTCTTTTGCCTTCATAGTTGCCTCAAACCTTCATGGCACTAATTTGAGAACTTGCGGGACGTTTCCTGAGCTGATAGGAGTGACACTCGGTACAATCTTCTGGTGATGCAATCCGTCCTTTTCAACATTCGGTGTGTTCTAAATTCAGAGATGGTCTTCTGCATAAACTGGTAGTAACAAGTGGTTGCTTTCCTATCAGCTTGAAGCAGCGTTACTATTCAGCTCTGACCTCTGGCAAGGCACTGTTACTCAGAACTGTTGCTCATTGTAGATTTCCTCTTTTTAAAGCCATTGTCTGTAAACCCTACAGATGGGTGTGTGGGAGTATTCCAGTAGATCAGCAGTTTCTTAAACACTCACACGAGCCTGTCTTGCACCAACAACACGATCAAGTTCAACGCCACTTAAAGCTTTCTTCCCTGTTCTGATGCTCTGTTGGAGCTTCAGCAGGTCGTCTTAACCACATTTACATGCCTAAATGCTCTTCCTTTACTTTTACCTTACATCAGTAGTGCTCAAGCTTTACTCATAGGTCATTCAATTGAGCTTTTTTCCTGTTTATCCACTCCACCTCTGAAGTGGCTGTTATGAGTCACATGTTTTGTCCCATAGCACTGCTTTAGGGTTTTAGATCAAAAACTGCTGACTACCCAGAGATGAAGGCTGAAAACTAAGGAACTATCAAGTCCTACAAGTTACATTTTTACACGTCTTCTGTTTTTTAATGCCCTTTTTTTACCTTTGATAGTTTCATTTCTTTTTGTGCAAATCTATACTTCACATAAAAGGAACTACAACGCACAGGTCAATTCTCTCCAGTGAACATTTCACAGCGAGTTGCACTAACACGCTCTGTCTCAATCTTTTTGCCTTATTCTAGGCTGTGTGGTCGTCCTTTCTGCTACTACTGTTGCAGCAGCACAGTGAGCACCCAGCAGGGTGGCAACAGAGAGCGCTGCTGTAAGGACTGTTACAACCAGCACAGTGCAGTAGTTGAGCGCCACCCGCAGGAAGAAGTGACTCACAGCACACCGGGAACACCATTTAGGCGCTTTCTGCAGGCTGGCCTGGCTGTAAGCGGTGTTTCAGGTAGTCTCCTACACACTCACTGGATTAATGTGTCAAAGGATAAAATATTTACATATTTAATTTATATTGGGGACATGGTAGTGATATACACACTACAGTAAGAGCTAACAATAAAGATCTATGGTGAATATGATGTTTATCTTCTAGGAGCAGGTGGAGATGAGAAACTGGACGATGGTGTTTTTGACATTATCACAGATGAAGAAGTGATTGGGGCGTACGACAGTGAATCCCTGTCTTTTGTCCCCGCTTGCTCGCCTGGACATGGACAGCAGGGGGCAGCACAACTGTAAGTATCTCACACACAGATGGACAGATATAGTAAGCAACAGGATTATCAGACACTGCATGGCAGATTAATAACAGCCACCAAAACAGATTTTCTATTTGCACCTGTCCTTTGCAACATGCCTCCTCTGAAACAGTCTACTTAGTGTGCTCCAGATTAATCAGAAGCAGCCAGAAATAAGCATGACTGCTAAAGTGATTATTGAAAAATTCACTTACCCCGGAATATAATTACAATTTTATATTTAACACATTTGCATATCCCAAAACAAATGACATATGCTCTAAGACATAGATTTGTACTTCTTTAACAGTACGTTGGCGTCTTTGGTATGTGAAGTCAATAAGCTATTACTTGTACTTGAGGTCTCTATTCTTGAGGATTTTATTGTTAATTTATTTGGCTTTTATTGTTGTTTTTAAATGTATTTAAGTAATGTGCAAAAGTCTTGAGCCACTCCTCAGTTCTTCATATTTTTCTTCCAAGCAATCCGATTTTCCCGTTATTGTTTTTTTTTTTTTTCAGTTTTTCTTTGGACATTGGCAGCTTTTTTACTTCTTCCCACTCCAGTCATTTTACTGGATCATTTTCAGAAGAATGTTCTTTTTTGCTTTGTTTAACAAACTCAAGCCAGTCAACACTGATCTATGAGTAATTCAAGAAAGTCACCTAACTCGAAGGATGAACCAGTGTTGTGACTACACATAACAGAAAACTTGTACCATCGGATTTTGATCCACCATGCAATGCCATCTGGAATTTATAGCTTGGCAACAGCGTTCATCCCAAACACAATGCCAGTTAGACGATCACTGTCCTCCCCAGAGACTGGACATCAACATTATTATTGAAACAGTGTGGCATCATCTCGACAGAAATGGTAAATGGCCTGTATTTGTATAGCGCTTTACTAGTCCCTAAGGACCCCAAAGCGCTTTACACATCCAGTCACCCACCCATTCACTCACACATTCACACACTGGTGATGGCAAGCTACATTGTAGCCACAGCCACCCTGGGCACACTGACAGAGGCGAGGCTGCCGGACACTGGCGCCACCGGGCCCTCTGACCACCACCAGTAGACAAGGGGTGAAGTGTCTTGCCCAAGGACACAACGATCGAAACTGTCCAAGCCGGGGCTCGAACCGGCAGCCTTCCAATTACAAGGCAAATTCCCAACTCTTGAGCCACGATCGCCCAAAAACAAAACAAAAGGTAGAAACATCCAAAGAAGAGCTTTGAATGCACTTCAAGAAGCCTGTAGAAGTACTGGTGTACTTCTACAGGCTTCTCTATGGTTCTATGATGACTGCTTAAAGAGATCACAAGAAAACTTGCCAGGCTGTGCTGAAGAATAAAGGTGCTCATACCAAATATCAACTTTGTTTTTGTTTTTTTGTTTTTTTTTGTCCCGTTTGGATCTTTAGCCATCAGAATTGTTGTCTTAAGGCCAAAAAAGATGCCAAGCGGATTTATTTTACCAAGTGGATCATCATGGCCTTGCCATATTGGTCCATTTGATTGACCTTTATTATAATTATGTATTTATTTTATTTTATTTTCGGTTGTTACAAACGGGACAGACATGACTGGGGGATAGGACAGGGAGAAAGAATGAAAGAAAGAGAGGGAGAGAAAGAAAAACAGAGGGGAGAAGAGACGGTGAGAAAGGGGGGAAGAAAGAAAGAAAAACAAATATCGACTTTCAATTTGTGTGAGCGCATGATTCTATCAGTTGCTGCCATGGTTATTATAACTAACTGAAACTACATTTCAGTAAACTACCATAAAAATAAAAACTAGACGTCTGATTAAAATTAAAAACACTGGATTATATAAACTGAAACAATTTTGTAAAACTTGAAAAACTAGTGAGTTTTTTTTATTAAATAGATTTTGTTTTTAAATGATCAAAACTTGCCCGATGAGGCTTTGGTAGATATATTTCTTGATGCTTTAGATGTCTACAAGACTGTGAATCAACTGCTTCCAAAATTCAGTGTTTTTATTGTAATAACTGTTCTGATTTTCTTAAATATTGCCTCCCACATTTGCCCTTCTTACAATAATTTTCATTTGTTTAGCAAAATATAATGAAAGAAGGGGAAGCTCAAGACTGCTGCTCAGTCTCATACATGTATTCAGTCTAGTGTTTTTGTAAGCTTCAAAAAATGCTTGAATAATGAGCCGTAAAGTATGTGTTGATCTGAAATATAAATGCCGTTTTGATTAGAAACAGCAGTGCCAGTGCGGGAGACGTCACATCAGAGGATACTGACGACCTCAGCGCTGCGGTACAGGACGCAGAGATCTGCCTGCTGAAATCTGGAGAACTGACGTAAGTTTCTGTGAAAGTTACACCTGAAAGCCACAAGTGTAGTTGCATTTTGTGAGGTCAAATGTTTTGTTTGGGTTTCTAATTTTCAGAAGAAGTTTCTCTTGTCTTTTTGTGATAAAAGTGTTGAACTACATTCTAAAAGGGAACTGAAAAATGAAGCAAATCTGGTTTGGGGGTTATCAACTTCTCTAAATATTGTGCAGTACATGTTGCAGATCCACAGTTTCACTTCTGGTGTAACCTGGAGCTGGTTTGTTCAGGCTGTGTGGAAACTTTCTGCTGTTAGCACTGTTTTTCAGTTACAGTGTTAAAGAACACACCTTTGATAAGGTCGAAAACTGTAAACAGGACTTTGAATTTCAACATTTTAAAGGGAAACAGTCTATTTATAGATTCAGGGAATGCACTACTTCAAACGTGTAAACATGGTATAAAGCGAGTCATATAACGAGATGATTTATGCCACTCAGTGAGCGTCAGATGGAACCAGTCAAGATTAAAATGATTCAAAAAGAGTGAAGTGAAATTCCAGACTTTTGTAATCATTTTCTCATCACCACAAGGGGTGAGCAGCTCAAGGTTGCTTGCTAGCCGCACACTGCTAGTATTATTCTTCTTGTTATCAATCGATCTGACAGCTGATCAATGAAGGTTTGGTCTGTAGGATTTCAGACGTTTCTCATTTCCAAGATAACTTTTTCAAATTCCTTTTTAATCAGAAAAGAAATGTTGCAATGTGAGCTTGTGTTTTTGCACGTCAATCTTTTCAGCTCTACAGAGATTTATGGAATTCTGCAGAAATCTTCAACATACCGTAGTTTTTGGGTCATAAGCCGCTACTTTTTTCCCACACTGTGAACACTGCAGCTTATACTGACATGTGGCTAATGCATCTTTTTTTTTTCATGCGGCCAAAAACATTTTGCCTGGTAACAGAAGACCAATAAAATTGATAAGTAGTATACACAGTGGGGCAAAAAAGTATTTAGTCAGCCACCGATTGTGCAAGTTCCCCCACCTAAAATGATGACAGAGGTCAGTAATTTGCACCAGAGGTACACTTCAACTGTGAGAGACAGAATGTGAAAAAAAAATCCATGAATCCACATGGTAGGATTTGTAAAGAATTTATTCGTAAATTAGGGTGGAAAATAAGTATTTGGTCACCTCAAACAAGGAAAATCTCTGGCTCTCACAGACCTGTAACGTCTTCTGTAAGAAGCTTTTCTGTCCCCCACTCGTTACCTGTATGAATGGCACCTGTTTGAACTCATCATCTGTGTAAAAGACACCTGTCCACAGCCTCAAACAGTCAGACTCCAAACTCCGCCATGGCCAAGACCAAAGAGCTTTCGAAGGACACCAGGAAAAGTATTGTAGACCTGCACCAGACTGGGAAGAGTGAATCTACAATAGGCAAGCAGCTTGGTGTGAAAAAATCAACTGTGGGAGCAATCATCAGAAAATGGAAGACATACAAGACCACTGATAATCTCCCTCGATCTGGGGCTCCACGCAAGATCTCATCCCGTGGGGTCAAAATGATCATGAGAACGGTGAGCAAAGATCCCAGAACCACACGGGGGGACCTGGTGAATGACCTGCAGAGAGCTGGGACCAAAGTAACAAAGGTCACCATCAGTAACACACTACAACGGCAGGGAATCAAATCCCGCAGTGCCAGACGTGTTCCGCTGCTGAAGCCAGTGCATGTCCAGGCCCGTCTGAAGTTTGCCAGAGAGCACATGGATGATACAGCAGAGGATTGGGAGAATGTCATGTGGTCAGATGAAACCAAAGTAGAACTTTTTGGTATAAACTCAACTCGTCGTGTTTGGAGGAAGAAGAATACTGAGTTGCATCCCAAGAACACCGTACCTACTGTGAAGCATGGGGGTGGAAACATCATGCTATGGGGCTGTTTTTCTGCCAAGGGACAGGACGACTGATCTGTGTTAAGGACAGAATGAATGGGGCCATGTATCGTGAGATTTTGAGCCAAAACCTCCTTCCATCAGTGAGAACTTTGAAGATGAAACGAGGCTGGGTCTTCCAACATGACAATGATCCAAAACACACCGCCCGGGCAACAAAGGAGTGGCTCCGTAAGAAGCATTTGAAAGTCCTGGAGTGGCCTAGCCAGTCTCCAGACCTCAACCCCATAGAAAATCTGTGGCGGGAGTTGAAAGTCCGTGTTGCTCGGCGACAGCCCCAAAACATCACTGCTCTCGAGAAGATCTGCATGGAGGAATGGGCCAAAATACCAGCTACTGTGTGTGCAAACCTGGTAAAGACCTATAGTAAACGTTTGACCTCTGTTATTGCCAACAAAGGTTATGTTACAAAGTATTGAGTTGTATTTTTGTTATTGACCAAATACTTATTTTCCACCCTGATTTACGAATAAATTCTTTACAAATCCTACCATGTGGATTCATGGATTTTTTTTTTTCACATTCTGTCTCTCACAGTTGAAGTGTACCTCTGGTGCAAATTACTGACCTCTGTCATCATTTTAGGTGGGGGAACTTGCACAATCGGTGGCTGACTAAATACTTTTTTGCCCCACTGTATACGGTATATATTTTTACCGGTTGTTAAGAGACATTGTAAAAAAACCATAAGCAACGTAATTTGTGTGTTACGATACGTACGTGTACTTAAAGGTAGCCGTGTTACAGGCGCTGTTCGAGGAAAAGAAGCATTTGCAGTATGAATTTTTGTATGTTACCATAACGTTTATGTTACCATAACGTTTATGTTACCATGTTTATGTTACTTTACGGATTAAATTAAACGTTAAAAGTCCTCACATGTAATATTTCTGTGTAAATATCTCATATTACAGGTGAAATGCATACGGCTTAAAATCTGGTGGGCCTGTACAAGTACAAAATTGATTTTCTTTCTAAAATTAGAGCATGCAGCTTTTAATCAGGTGCGCTCTGTAGTCCGGGAATCACGGTACTTCTTATTACCACTGTGTTTTGAGAAATGTTAGCGTTTTAGCTGCTCTCAACCTGCTGCAAATTCAGTCATGTAGCATAAGATACCAGCCAACTATATTTGTAATTAATATTTTTTTACAGTTTAACAGAAATATGACCCTGAAGTTACTTATTCTAGCTCATTAACAGTAAATGTGGTGTGTTTCTTAAGGTGTTTGATAGATATCGGAATACTTTTTTGTGCACAGTGACTGGATAAACTGAAAAAAACCCTGAAAAATATCAAGTAAATTGGAAATTAGGATTTTGTTTAAAAAATGGATAAATGATATGGGATTAAACTGGGTTGGGTACTGCAGTGCCACTGTTTCAGCGTGAAATGTTTCGTTCCACATGCTGCAGGTTCTCTGTGCACTTCACGGTGGATGACATCGCAGCGTTTGGCGACAGCCCCCGAGAGCTCTTCATCAAATCCAGCTGTTACAGCACCATCCCCATCACCATGAGCAACCGTGGTCCTACCGTGTCCTGGACCTTCACATCTGAACCAAAGAGCATCTCCTTCAGTGTGGTCTACAGGGAGAGCACTGAGACTCCACTGGAACAAGCCAAGGTGAGAGCCCAGCATGTGTATAACCATGGGTGAAGGACACGTCCTCACAGAGATACATTTCCATCCAATTCCATTCCAATAAAGTGGATTTATTCAACTGTAAACCGATCTCCAAAGGAATATAAACTCACCAGTGAACATTAACGTGAACATTTGATCTCATTTGATAGTTGTAAAATGAAAAGGGTAAGCAATATGAAAGAATAGAATTGATCTACAGAAAACAGTCGCTCGCATATGCAGCTCATCACAACACTGGGTTTGTTGGTTATCTTTCAAACTGATTTTTTTTAGCACTGACTCAGTCTCAGTGTTCTTGGTGTTCAGCAAACACAATTTAACAGCTGCTGAACGCAGTGGAGCATTCAGCAGCTAAATAGCCAGATGTTCCCCTCAGGAGAGGATAGTGACCAAAAGGCACTACTGCCGTGACTACCGCCACACAAACATGACTCCAAATGAATAGTAATGGATGTGTTAATAGCCAACTTTTAACACTGATGCGATATGAAAATCAATCTGCTAGTCTGATGTCTTAGAATATGGAGGACTTCCTGTGCTTGCAGCAGTTGTCGGGGCTAAGCTTTCAGGTCATTACTTACAAATGAAAATTAATTTAAAAAAATTAAAACGCTGTCAGACGATAGCTGACGGTTTCAGATGTTTTCTGGCAAATGCCGCCATTTTTTTGCTTTCTATACAGATCGTTCACCTATGTGCATCCAAAGCCCGCTCAAACCTGATTGGTCAGTGTTTCCCGTTTAAATTCTGGCACTGATGGGTTGACATATACACAGATGTGCATACGGGTATATGTACACATGCTTTTGTATATAGTTTTGTATTTTTACTTTTGTTTGTTTTTTTATTTTGGATATGTTTTTTCTATTTGCCAGGCAGTCAATGACAGATAAACTGTACATGTATAGTTTACAGTTTATAGTTTACAGTTTAGAGATTGTTTATATAGTGTAACCTTAATAATACCGTGGATGTGTATTTAGCCTAACCGTCTAACCACCAGTGATTGAAGTAAAAGTTTGTGTCAGTTTATTTCATCAAAGTCAACAAAACACCTCAGACTGCTGCAGGATTTTTCCTAAATATTTATTAGCAATAAATCAAGTCAGAGAGGGACAAGCGGCCTTTCCCAGCCTGCTGATAGTGTGGGGCTGTATTCTGTGACCCCTGATGTAATATGCAGTGTGCATGCAGAAGCAACTAAATTATTCAGTTCATATTTCCTCAGTGATAAAGCAGAGCTAATATTTTATTCTACTGTGGTTCTTATGCAGCCGTAGCAGAGCCGCCCACTGTGTAAGCTGCCCGGCAACAAACATAAAAATGTGTCAGGACAGGGTTAAAAAAGGTCACGGAGCAGTGGAGAAAGTCCGACAGCTTTTCTGCACATTTATTGGGATTTAGATTCAGTAAGCTGATTCTGAATTGGTTTCACAGTTGGTAAAATGTTGCCTCCTGTTGCCATCTTGTGTACACAGAAGAAATCCTTAACCCGGATTTCTCTCCTTTGCTCTCTGCAGGTTTTGATCCCTCTGACCCGTTGTAACTCCCACAAGGAGACAATACAGGGGGAACTAAAAGTCAGAAATCCTGGAGAATACACACTTATCTTTGACAATTCCTTCTCCAGGTTAGTCACGCTGTGCTCTAAACAACAACTGTTCAGAATAAGACTGAACAAAGCAGAACATAAAGCCTTTTCTCTCTCTCCTGTTTGTCAGGTTCATCTCTAAGAAAGTGCTGTATCATCTGAGTCTAGACAAGCCTGTGGTCTACGATGGAACCGACCTCCTCTGAGTGTGGCAGGAGCAGCACGAGGATGTGTAACACTGACTTTTTCAAACTGTCAAGGCTGTTTAAGCGCATAGGTATCACTTCAGAGTCTTCTGATGCTGAGCAGCCTCAGCGGAAAGGTCACAGCATTAAAACACATAAGTAAATAACAATATTACACTACGGTATGTCAGCATGCACTTTTATGAAAGCTAGTTTAAATATACATAAGGAAGGATATCCAAAGTTCAGGCGCTTTCGTATTTGAATGTGACCGCTTAATGTGTGTGTCAGTTAAAATCTTCTTTTCATAGTATGAGAAGTTTTATGTTTTGATATCCAAAAGTATCAAAATCAAACAAAAAGGGTTGAGAAAGTGTTTATATACACTTTAAAAAAAAACAGGGAGGGATGTGGGGTGTTGCGTAAATAAGATAAAAATTCTTTATGAGAAAAAAAATAATATACAGTAATAATTGTAGTACATTGTTCCCAGAAAAGCTCTGACTGCTGGCAAACACATGCGATTGAGTCATAATCAAACAGGGAGCCTCTTGTTGTGAAAGCGTCTGTGGTTGCAAGCTGAGATCAAATCTAATCACTTGATTTATTAACGGTAACTTTGATTGTAAAACTTTTCAGTGGAAGAATTCAACTCTGATGTTAACAGAGTCTTAACTGACGCATCAGTGGACATTAATGCTGCGGTAGAATGAGCCCAGCAGTCCTTTCACATATCTTTCTTACTGTTGCCTTTTCAGCTGTCAGAAATTAGATGAAATGGATGTGTTGCAATCATGACGAAGCTTAAATGGAAGAAACAGAACCACAGGAAGAACCCGGAAAGCATTTGGTTTTATTTATCTTGAGTAAACAGGCTTTATTTCAGTGCTTTGTCTCTAGTGGTTGCAGCTGAAGACAGAGGGGAATGTGGCTGCTTGGGTTCTGTGCATGCAAACATTAAGAGTGTGTGCAAGCTTTCCCATCTTCATTACGCACATATCAAAATGTAAGTTTCAGTGCTTCAGTATTTAGTTGTTTTTCCCCATCAGTTTAACCATCACTCTTGATGGTTTTACATTTAAAGTGAGCAAAAATGGGACAAATTCTCATGAAAAGCACAAAGCTGTTACTGTCTCTAGAAAGAAAAAAGAATCATCTTTAGAATGATTTTCTTGGGGTTTTTTTATGCTTTTGCTGTGTAATGTTCTGGATGAGTTAATTAGAGTGTTTTGTTATGAGAAATGTGCAAAACCTGCAGTGTGTCAAACAGAAAACACGAGCCTCAGCCTTTAAATCACACAAGTCTAAAAATTCTGTTACTTTAATACTTGAATTTTTTCATATGTGGACCTTTAAAAGGTTTAATGTGGAAGATGATCCAAGTTTTCAATCAGCAATCCTCTCAGTGTCTCATCATTTAACAATACTGACAGAGTAACATTGATTTAACTGCTTTGCTCTATCCAGAGGTTTTACAAAATCTCCTCCACCATTTTAAACCCATTTTGTAATTTATGTTGTGAAGAACTGACAGGAGAAAAGAAAATAAGGAAAAATGCTAATTGATTTTTATACATCCGCTCATTAAGAGTGACAAGTTGCCAAATATATTTTACAATTCTTAAATGGGAGTTTCTATTTAAAGACACTGCGACATGACTGCTGTATAATGCACTTTGTGAAAGGGCTTTTTGTCGATATGTATCCCATGAGCCTTTGTGCCAGATGATGAATGAGGTTTTTTTCTCCTCCATATGTAGGCAGTGTTTGATTGTAGATGTTTACAGCTGGATTTACCAGAGGGAATCTGCCGGCATGTCTTATGAGAACTAAATATTTATACTAGAAATGATGTACGTTTATGGTTAATAAATAAGGATTGTGTGATGAATGTGTGGTTGCATTTTAATCTGAAGCATATCACTGTGATGTATTTGATGGTCACATTGTTTTTTAGCCACACTGGTCTGTGGATGTCAATCTGCTCATGATGGAAGTGTCTCGACAACCACCAGAAGAGCTACCATGCACATTCACGCATGTACGGTTTGCAGAGGAGCAATTCAGCTGAATTTGCTGAAGGTTGTGAGGTTAACAAGGAGTAAAAGCTAGCCTGATGTTAAAATCCCCAACTGTGAAGCATTAGAAGGCATGTTTACAGAAAGTAGTTTTGGCCTATATAGATAGTTTCCCCTTCATAGATGCTCTGTGGGGGGTGATTTTTGCTTGTAATCTCAGAGGAGCTACGGTGTAAACAACAGGGTTTCAGTGCTGGATCTGATACAGTGATCATCGTGGGGAACGTTTGATGAGCTCGGTGAGCTGATTAAGACCAGAGGGAACTCAGTGAGTTTGATGCGCTCCATGCGACGCTGTACCAGGACTGTCACGCCCTGACTGCACCGACTACAGCATGATCATACCTGGCTGTACGACTTCTATGGCGGACAGGAACTAGAAGCCGGTAACAGCAATCTTACCAGCTCGGGATGAAAAAGGATACGTTCAGTGAAACATTTATTTACATAACAGGTGACTACTGGATCTGTTGTTGTTACACCGCGTTTATTAAAATGTACAATGTATGTACAAACGCAGAAAATATTTTTATGTTACATTTTTGGAAAGAAACAGCAGCACGTTATTTATGATTCAAACAGCTTTAAATGAATGAACAATTTTTAATTTGCATATTTTAGTCACATAATGCTGGTATCCACACTGCTGGAGTTGGAGTGATAACATTATATATTTTTTACGATTTCTGTGTAGTTTTCACCTTGTGGGTTAGACTGCTCCCTGTGGTGAGGATAAATTTCCTGACCCACCTTACTTTACATCTACAATCTCAAATTTCACATTAACTGCATTTGTTGTTAACTTAACAGCATTTTTCTCACTAAGCAGCAAAATGTTCTCAAAGCACAGAGTTGGTATGTTAAATACAAAAGACTCCTCAGCCTGCTGTTGGTACTCATAATGCAGTGGACAAAGAGACATAGGCAGCATGTAGCTGGGAAAAGGTTGGGGAAACGGTCCAAATTACAAATCTGAGAAACACAAAAGAAATATTAAATCTGAGGGAAACTACAACATGTAACTTGCATACAATTGTAAGTTACATTTTTATCATATTCATATGAGTATTTTAGTTACTAAGATTGTTAACTTGCATTCATAATTGGTATAAATTTAATTTGATACTCTGTTAAAATAGTACAGTAAGACTGTTGTAAATATACTGTGTACTCAAAGAACTGTTAGGTGGTCTGTACCTGACATGCAGAACTACATGTGCTAGCATGTCCTTGTAAATGTCCTGTGTTAGCATGCTCTTATTAGCTTATAGCTCATTGCACTCAAAGTGCAGGATATTGTACCTATATCCTTAAAATCGCTTCTTCTAGCAATCCTTTTTTAAAAATGTATCCAGGTAAAAATCTCATTGAGATTAAAAATCTCATTTCTTCTTTCAGCAGCTCTGTTTTTACCATCTTTACCCCATCCTCCTCTGTCACACCAACCCTCCTTCACTATCTATGAATCTTCTCTGTGGTGTTCCCCCTTTCTTCGTCTTTTGTCTTTGTCCAACAGTTGCACATTTTCCGCCAGAACCCTGTTGTTCTGGGCCCTGACTGAATCAGTATGAAAATCTCATCCGCATGTTTGATTTGGCAATGATTTCATGGCGGATGCCCATCCAGATGCAACCATCCCAGTTTTTTCCAGGCTTGGGACCAACACTGGAAGTACTGTGGCTTGAAGCCCACTGTCTCTGCTGTACAAAATCATGATCAGATATAAACATCTAAATGTCTTAGTATATCATTTTTAAAATCAGAATGCATGTCTGAATATTTTTGGTTAGCTGAAGCTTTGCACCCTTTCTCCTGAAGCAGTCACTTCAGCTCTGAGCAGCTACTGCATTAATTGTGTTTACTGCATTTTAAGAATTTGTCTTCTTACCCAAAAACCCCCCAAAAAGAAAATAGGAGAAGGGGAGTATAGTTTGCTTCACGTTTCTTTCTCATTATGCCTTTATTTTGCCACTTCTTGTTCTTCTTCTAGTGTGAATCCATTACATCTTCACCGTGTCTGGGACACAGCTTAAGTCGTGTTATTTTAAGGATCACAGGATGTGTGTTTGCCTTTTCGTACATCAGTCTGTGTCTGTGTGTGTGTGTCTGTGCGTGTACACATGGTATTGTTCTAAGAGGGTGTTTGTCTCAGAGATAGTGTTTATGTCGCACAGGCCATTCTGTTTCTCAAGGTTAATGATCTCATTGTAAATCATGTCACATCCACCTTCCCTCTCCCTGACTCCCCTCTCTCCTGCTTTTCTCTCTTCCTGCCTGTCGCCTTCACTGAATCTGTCATTTGCTCTGTTGCTGTGCACATGTATGAATTTGCGTGTCTGTCGGAGGCGGTTGTTTATAATAGTGACTGCGTGTTGAATGTAGATGGGGACATTCACACGTGTGAGCGTGTAAGGGGAAAATCACATTGTTGCACAAGTGTGCATACGATGCACATTTATATGAAATGTCATTCCACAATAACAGTACATCACACTTTCCTTTATAGGTGGAGAAACTGCTTTACAGCCTCCTCTGCTGTTCTGCTCTCGTCGTCATGTATCTGACAGTTACACAGAAGTGTGTCTTTTCCCCCCCGAAAACTCATTTATCAGTCCAACTTCTCTTTTCTAGTTGAAAAAAGTAAGCACATGCAGTCCTTCACAGTATTGGTAGTTACCAAAAATCATGTTTTATGTGTCTGTAATCATTAATCCACCAGCATGTTCCAGCTTTTTGATTGAACTATTTTTAATTCTAAAAATCTAATTATTTTTTACCGTTTTACAGAAAAAAGTACTGCACACTATTATTGTTGATTAAGATGCCAAATTACAGTTTTTTAATTTGCATTCCTGAACAGATTAATTAGTTTTAGTGGTCGGATGTTTGATTTATTTCTGACTTCCCAGAAAAGTCCAGTATGCCGACTCAAACGTGGTATAAAAACACAACATCAGTTCATTAAGTAGGTTTTTAGTTTTAGACAAGTTTTTGACAGATTTCTAAAATATATTTCTTTTTTATGACATGTTGTCTAATAAATTTGTTACGCACTGTATTTGTGTTCTGCTACATAAATTAAAAGGGATGCAACACCTTGCAACTAAAGAGTAAAATGTGTGAGGTACATTATCTCTGATGTGCTCTTGTTTGGAGTGGAAGATATTAGCACCTCATAGGTGACAGCTGATGAAGAATCAACAGAAAAGTCTGTTTTTATTATCTGATGATTGATGTGAAAATGAATTACAGTATTTTGTTGTTGTTCTTTGTTTAATGCTATAAGAGATCTACTAATGAAGTTAATCATAGCATGCACTAGAAACTCTTGAAACTTTTTTTTTCTTCGTTCATGTGTAAATGGAGCTCATAGTGCAAGACAGTGCCCTAAAAAAGTATCTTACCTAACCTATTAAATAGAACTTATTAATTAACTTCTTTTGGAATGCAGAACAGTTTTGTCTTTAAAGCCCTTTTATTCACTCATATTATGCTGTAATGGTGTGTAATTCTAAAGCTTGCACACATTTAGCCTGGATCTCTGCAGCCCCCTGGAGTCTTTGAGCTCAGGACGTTAGCCCACATTGTTCTCCATCTCACATTGCTCCAACTGATTGCTGTTGACAATGCTGGCACGGTAATGTTGAGGTTGGCAGAATCATGCACATGGGTTAATCCTAATGTGCAGATTTCTGACTCACTGTCCATCAATCATAATGTGTATTATATCAGCATTACTGGCAGTAAAATGAAATGAAAAATTCATTTACTGTGCATAGGTGGGTGTTTGATAGCCTGTGTACAGTCAGAGCAGCGAATTAGCCCAACACAGTAGGGAAAATACATTTTAGTTGCTTATGTAATTTTAAAAAATGGATAGTTTGTCTCTTCACTGTAAACACAAAAAAACATCCTTTGTCAAAATACTGTGTGTTTCTAACATATAACTTATAGTACAGTAGACCTAAACATCTCCAATTTGCAGTGGATGAAGTCTCAGACCACCCACTGTCCACAGTTACACTCCTGTTTAGAGACCTCTCATGCTTTATTAAAGTCTTCCCCTCAGACACCTTAACATAACCTGTACCTGCGTGACACTGCATTATCATAACTGAATAAAGATGGGTCTGAGTGAGTTGGCAGCCTGTCTATGTGCAGAGAGCACAGCACTGATCTGGACTTGCCGCTGTGTCCCTAGCAGTCTACGCATGTCTGTATGCATTGTGAGGTTAGACACACGGACACGCTGGTGTGTCTTTGTGAATGTGCCTCCATCTGTTTGCTCACTGTATGTGTGTTTCCTCTCTCAACACTTTCTCTGCTCAGGATTTGCAGCCCCCTGTAGTGGTAATGACAGGTCGCGTTGGCCCCTCTCAGACAGTTTGCTCCTGTCAAATATAGTTTCATAGTTTCAACCAGACACTTTCAGCTCCTGCTGCCCTGGGACCCTCCATCACAAGCTGCAGGCCAGCCAGACATTTTGCTCACACAGCAGCAGATCTCGTTTTCCTCTGCTGGACTCCCCTTTCCTTTTTTTGAACTTTCTCCTGTTTCCTGATTTCTTATGGCTTCACACCTGTGCTGCAAAAAATGCACAAGCACACACAGCCAAAGTTAGGAATTGTCCTCCAATGTACTCATACTTGCTGTTACACAAACTTCTTAGGCCAGTATATAGCTGTGTGTTTTACATGTTTACATCAGGTAAAGATACCTTGTGAGAAGTTAAAAATAGATATTCTAATTACTTTGGGTAAGGGGCAACTAATGGGGCATTTATAAAATGCAAACCTTTCAAAAACTAAACCTT